CTTTTTTTTTTTTTTTTTTTTTTTTTTAAGGGGGGAAAATCATCGAATGACTGCCCCCGCCTGGGTGAGGCGGGAGGGAGTGTCAGACTCTTACTGACTAAAAACCACCCCGTTCCTTCTCCTGCACGTCGAGCCGGAGCCCCGGTTACCCGTTAGGTTCTCCGCGACTCCGAATCGGCATCGGCCCTATTGGACCCCATCTGTGGTGGTCTGATGGCTCTTTGAGGCGCGCGCGGAACGCGACGCGCCGTACGCTCGGGTCTGTTTCTGGTCGGACGGGGAGCCACCCATGCTCGCCGTCCGCAGGCCCGCGCTCACGGTGGCCGGAGATCGTCCCGCGATCCCCGACGCCCGGTGTGTCCTTCGCGATGGCTGGGTTGCGAGGAGGCAGCGCTTCGCTGCCTCACGCGTCCCGCCTCCTCCTTAGCTAGCATGACTGCTTCGCAAAAGGAGGAGACGGCATCCCAATCCCCCTCGCTCCGCATCATGGCCTGCACTAGGCCCGGACGCGAGAGGTCGCCATCGCCGATCACTTCCCTGAGGACACGGCGGTGCCCAGCCCACGAAGGGCATTCTCCCACCGTGTGTTCCACCGTGTCTTCAGGGCGGTCCTCGCAGTGATGACACGGGCGTTTCCTCCCGCCCCATCAGACACAGGTACCTCCCGAAACTGCCATGTCCGGTGAGGACCTGCGTCAGGCGGTAGGTGAGGACGCCGTAGCGTCTCTCAAGCCACTCCTCAAAGAGGGGACTTACCGCTGCGATGGCAGCGAGCCCAGTCCTCGGTTGCGACAGTCGTTGCTGCCATTCCGCCATGAGATCGCGCCGGAGCTCATCCCGCCACGCACTTATCTGGCGCGGCAGCGGAGTTTCGCCCCGGCGTGTGCCTCCGCGCGCATGCTGTGCACGCGCGCGAGCACCTTCGCCTCCAGATCCCACGGCGGTAATCCGGCAAGGAGGTTCGCCGACTCCCCAGAGATCGTGCGGTATCCGCGGATCATTCGGATCGCCATGACCCTCTGTGCCATGAGCAGCGTCCGAGCGGGACGCCGCAACAGGTTAGGCGCCCAAACAGGGGCGCCGTAGAGGGCCATGGACCGCACGACCCCGGCGTATAACCTCCGGCAGGAGGCGTTTGGCCCCCCGAGGTTGGGGAGGATGCGTTTAAACGCAGCCCCCGTCCTCTCCAACTTTGGAGCCAAACGTCGGAAGTGTTCTATGAAGTTCCACCGACTGTCGAGGACGAGTCCTAGGTACTTCATCGTCGTCTCGACGCCGATGGTAACTCCTCCCGCCGTTATTTGGGACCCACCCGGAGGTGGCGCGTTCCCGCGGCCATGAAAACACATGGCCTCGGACTTGTGGAGCGCCACCTCGAAGACTATTTGGCCTATGCCCTAAAGAAATTAGTAGTTAGTGTTTCATAGTATAACTTATTATGTAAAGCAGACTGTACCTACGACGTCCTTAGGGAGAGACGTACGGTACCCATTGTTTAAACAACGGTTGGCCCAGACAGTGGTGTATTTAGTGTTCTGCAATTACTACACCAAGTCTCCCATGCTAATTCGGTTAGTAAGGGTTAACTCGTATGATTGTTACAGTAGATTGCTTTAAGTATACTACTTATGATATCCACTTCTGATTTTTCAGACCGGATAGATGACTACGATGACACGAACTAATCTCATTACATCAGTCATAAGTAAATCATACAATACATATTAACTTACTTATTATGATCATGGTAAACATGTACCACACGCAACTTAAAATAAAGAAAAATACAAAATCCCCGTGTAAGTGTAAACACAAATAAAGGCGAGTACACATACGCTGCAAGTGGCCCTAGATTCCACCGAGGCACAAAGGCTTTTAGACTTTTAGCCAGCAGCTGCCGAGAGTAGCGACTAGGTAAGCTGATGCAGATGTGACAGACATTTGCATTCGGTGAGGAAAGCGCAGAAATTACCCACTGCCACATTCCACGTTGTTGATATAGGTAGGTGAATAGCGTAAATCCTGTGTGCTGTGGTATTTGACTTCCTACCTAAGTGCGCCAATGCTCTTCATTTGTTAATGTGTACCTACCTACATGTGTGACATAGGTATGTTAAGACAGGTCTAAACTTCTATATAGATTGTTTTATAAGAAATACATATAAGTGGCAAGTTCTAAGTAGAAAATTCTATCTAAAACTTTTAATAAAGGCTTCACTTAAAATTATGTTTACCTACATACTTATTACCCATTTTTTTAAGGGGGGGAAAATCATCGAATGACTGCTCCCGCCTGGGTGAGGCGGGAGGGAGTGTCAGACTTTTATTGACTAAAAACCACGCCGTTCCTTCTCCTGCGCTTCGGAGCCGGAGCCGGAGCTCCGGTAACCCGTTAGGTTCTCCGCGACACCTATTACCCATAACATCTTATCATACCCGCAAAAAGGTGATATAAAAGCAGGTAAAAACACAACACGCATAATCCATCACTTATTCTTTGCAGACTCGTTATGGACACGAGAGGGCCCGCGTGCAAGCTAGCATTAAGTTGTAAGGCATTAATGCACCGCCGCGCGGGGGCGCATGACCACGCCTGCTCATACGAGAAACTTATTATGCTAACTTTTTACCAGCTTTCCTGTACTTAACTAGGTTTTTCCACTCCCACCGACATTAAAATCTGAGCGTGACTCACAAATTAGCCCGTGCGCATTAATATTAGGGTTTCAGAGAGATTTTCGTGTCTCGCAAAAATTGTACCCAGTCGCTTTGACGCAGCTTGCTCAAGTTTTTATTAAACTAAATTTCAGCTCTTTGCATGACCTCGCGTTTAATAGCGGAAGCTGCCAAGTGCCACGATTAACTTGCACAGGTTAAACAAAATTTTACAACGCCATCGAAATGCTCATAAAACACTGAATCTCATAACGTTTTGGTATTAAAGTTTACCTTGACAACCAGTCCTTGGTATTTAACAAAGGATTTATAGAGTACAGCCACGTACCTACTTATATAGACCTACGAGTAATACGTATTTTACTCTCGATACCTACTAATAATAGCCCGATGTTAAATAGCTAAATTAAATAGCTTATAATAGGCAAATACCAAATTTTGTTATTTCAATTTAGGGGGGGGTCATCCTTTTGACTTCTCCCGCCTTAAGTTAGGCGAGATGGAGCGTCAGACGTTTACTGATTAAGAACCGTTCCTTCTACTCTTCGAGCCGGAGCCCCGGCAATCCGTCAAGCCTTCCGCGGCACCGTATAGTGCATCTGTGGTGGTCTGATAGTCTGATGGTCTGGTTCTGGTTGGGCGGCAAGCAATCCTTTCTCGAAGTCCTCAGACCCCAACTTACGTAGGTTCTCCGACGCCCGGAGTGTCTCCCGCGACAGCTGGGGCGTGAGGAAGTTCGTTCCCTCAGCCGTTTCGCCTCCACCTTGGCTAGAATGACTGTTTCGCATGGACTTCTACTTAAACAGCTAAAAGTAGGTAATAGTTAGTAAATGCCTACCTGTTTACGTAGGTACGTTGTATAATAGATAGTACCTAATACCTATCGATTTTTATAGAGAGGGAACTAACACTTCTAAATCATTCTAACAATCTTAGAGATTGTTTTAAATGCAAAGTATAAGAACAAAATTGCAAATAAGTTGCCATTCAGCTATAACTACAAACATTGTTCATTCTTCCCCTTCTGAACACAGTGGAGTTTAAATGATATGAAAATTAATAAATGATGAAATGCCCAAAGGCAAGGAATACGAAATGATACGAACTGCAGTTTCGCATGGGTTTCTTAAAAATAAACTTCCTGCCCCGTAGCCTACCCACTTATTCAAAGGGGCTTTTCAGTTATAATTAATGCTACAAAGTACAGTATCCGTCGTAAATGAGCAAACTTAATTAATATATCCATTAGATCTCGCAACATTCTTTGAAACAATGAGATGTAAAGGGGAGGGCACCCTTCTGGTGAGACCACCCCTACCGAGGGTAGGTAAGTAGGTAAGTACTAATAAAATGTCATAGAAAAGTCACGATAATCGACGTTATGAATAGATAATTATACGTAACTTCATTTTTGGACTTACAGACTCATGACGCATGAGTACCTATGTACATTTTTATTATACAGTCTGCAGGACCTACCATCTTTAGGATCGCGAGTGTTAGTGGTTAACAAGCACCTACAAGGTACCTACCTACTACCGCGGAAAAAATCGTAAGAATCGTAGATAACAATTGGCGTTCTATAGTGTCTGCCTATGGGAGACAGGCGTGAGGTTACATAGTGTTTAGTGGCTGCTATTGTATGAGCGTGCAATGAGATACACATACTTACATAAGTGCATACCTACCTTTCAATGATCTCATCTTGGGTCATTATAAATTCAGCTTCAATCTCTTGCGAGTTACGTGTGGAAGGACCATGCTTGCTGAGGCATGGCTCTCCTACCTAAAGGTTAGGCTGGTTCGACTGGAGTGATACCAGATAGCACAACCTCACAGAAAATTGTGTGAGACGTGTACAGCACTTGCGTTGTGTTTCGTCGTGAGAATGAAATTATCGGACTCGAAATTACCCCCCATCCCCAATCTTTCCAATCTCTGAATATCCAACAATTCTCAAATTCCTGATCCTTAAAAGGCCACCACCGGTGTTTTGGGTGTCCATGGGCGGCGACGATTGCGTTCCATCAGGTGATCCGTCTGCTCGTTTACCGGCTTATTCCATAAAAAAAAACATTGTTTCGATGTCTACATTTTATTTACAAAAATATAATTATTTATTTAAATATTCTGTGCGAAATATTTCATTCAGACTTTTTTTTTAATTTAAATTTGAATGCGCTATTGACAACACTTTTTGCTTTTCAAAGCTGGCAACTCAAGTCGGCAACTTTCAATTTTGAGGTTAGCACAGCACGGAGCGCGTAAATAATTTGTAAATAAAGTTACCAAGTGTATTGAAAATCCTTACGAAATCCCTCACAATGCGTTTTTCAATTAAACATGCAACCCTTGGTAGTGAACGTATTGGTACGTTAACAGGATTTGTTAAATCTCCGGGCACTGTTATTGAAACTCCGACAGCAGCTCTATTTACTCAGGTAGTTTACAAAATATTGATCAACTTTTTATTCTAGTGACTCATCAGGAACATCTCTACAGAATTATGCGTGGGTCGTACCCTAATATGCATAACAATCATAGAATAAGCCATGTTTTTGCAATACGATTATGAATGATTGGCGGTTAAAGAATTTTCCGTCGCAATTTCCTTCGATTTTCCACGTCATAATCATTTTGTATACCTACCTATATATTTTCCATCATCAGTATTGGTCTAATAAGAGTTTGACATGTAGGTCAAACTATGTCTGCTAAATCTATCAACAATTGTGTGACATTGGCATTGGGTTTTCCCCTTGATATTGAACAATAATAATAATATCTAGATATTGCAACTTAATATCAAGTGAACATGACCTAATTATTGCCATGTGTTATGAAATTTGGTATTAGGTTCCCTATGTCTGAATCTACAGCCAAACTTAGTTTGAAAAGATCTATTTGGCTATTAAGATGTTATGTAAATAACTTGCTAATCACATAAAACATTACTACGTTTTCAGGGAGGCAGTGTACTGCATCTAACCGCAGAAGTGTTAGCCAAAGTATTTTCAACTCCACAACTGTTATGGGTGCCGGTTTCAAACTCTTTACAACTAGAACCTGGTATGAAGGCTCAAGGAGAAGGTGTGGCTAAATTTGCTGGCCTTCCGGAACATTTAACTTGTGTATCAGCTCATAATATGAGTGAAGTAACTCCTTCAGGACATTTTGAACTTGATAAAGTACCTTTGTGGACCAAAAATGGGAAGAAAATGGTTAATGCAGACAGGTGAGGTTTAAAATAACTAAATAGTAAAAAATTTACAGCATCAGCCTGGTGTTTATTCAAAAAAAAAACAATTCCCAATAATCACTGTCTCAATTAAGTAAGTAATATTGGAATATCTTGCTTATTATTTTCCAAATAAAAAATATTTCAGATATATGGATTTGATGGAAGTATACAAACCAGAAATAATTTTGGCGATTGCAGATGGCCGGACAGCACTTAACGAGGGTTATAAGAGAATTATGAAGTCCCTGGATAGAAGCTGCAACATGCTGGATACTTGTGTGTATCGATATAAGGCCTCAAAGCAGCTTCGACATAGTGGCCTAATTGGTAAGACAGAATTTTGATTTTTACTCAGTACTCAGCTATGAGTTTTGATGAGATTGAACATGTGTTTAGTTTACCTACAAGAATTGAATTGTCCTTGTAACAATGTAATCTTAGACATAGACAAAAGCCATTTAACAGAAGCTACTAGGTAGGTACTAACTAGGCAGCAGCCTATTTTTCCAATAAGTACCAATTAGTTAAATTAAAAAAAAAGATGTCAGCCGTTGTTCTTAACAAAATAAAAGATTTTTATTATGTTTATTTCTTGTTCTAAAACCTTAATCTTTCATTTCCAGGTGTAGTAGTAGCCACGGGAATGCCAAAGAAATTGAATGAAAGCATAGAACATGTACTGAAATACAAAGATGATCTTACGGGAGTCGCTTTAGCTGGTGTAACTGATGCAACTGATGAATCTAATAAATTAGCATTGGAGAAGATAGAAAGTATTTTTAAAACTGTTAGTGTGAGTACATGAATGCTTTATTTTCTTAATTTATTTTAAAAAAACCTCATTTAACATAAATATTGCACAAGGAAGACATTGGCTACTACAAGGTTAGATTAGTCTTGTTTGCTGTAGTTGTACTGTAGTTAACCTTTGAGTAGTGCAGAAATGTATGTTGTAGGTATTAACCTCTTGTCTGTGTGTATGAGACACAATAGAAAACACATTCTGTCTCAAGTAGATCTATCTATCTCCAGCATACCATGAGTTGAACTGTAAAACAACAATTTAAGGGACAAAGGTATACATCTAATCGCAAAGACCGGTATACCTATATAACTAACTTTTACCCGCGGCTTTGCCCGCGTATTCCTGTTTTATCCGATGGGAATATTTAATGGGGATTAAAAGTATCCTATCACCTAAGTCAACCCATACCCATTGTCGTGTTTCATCACAATCAGTAATTTCAGTGTGATTGACACACAATACTTTCACATTTAAAATAGTAGTGTGATGATTATAACATTAGGCTGCAAAACTGTCCAAGTCATTGGCTTTATACAGAAATATCCTAGTAGGAAGCAATGAGCATTTATTACCTTTGAGTTAGTTACAAGCAGATTTGAAGCATTTATACTAGTCATCTGTTTAAAAAAGTTGACTGATGAAGTGATGACTCATCAGCAGTTTTTGTCACTTTGTCATTTCCTGTGGTGATCACAAAATAGTGAACTAACCTCTGTTTATAAATAAACACATTATTTAGATTATTACACTAACTAATGGACTTGTATTTGGTTTGCAATTAGTTTTGACTGCCTCGTTGGCCGAGTGGTCGCAAATGCGACTGCAGGGCAAGGGGTCTCGGGTTCAATTCCCGGTCGGCACAAAGTTTTACTGGGCTTTTAAAAAAATCTCAGTAGTAGCATGGAGTCTGGAATTGTGCCCGGTATATGGCAAAAGGCTCACCCTCTATTACATGGGCCTCATAGCATAAATAGTGAAAAGTAGGGGTTATATTGTATAGTGGCATAAGGGTAAAGGTGCACCTTTACCTACCCCGATCGGGGATAAATGGCGTGATGCTATGTTATGTTATTTGTTTTGGTTTTCTTAGTTTATGAACTTTGTAGGCAAGAACCAATTATAGATTTAACCACAACTATTTCAGAACTACCTAGTCATTTACCCAGGCTGCTAGAATGACTAAACTTGACTTCCTAAAAATTAAGTTGGGTTTCTGGGATTTGTAAACTAAGCGGGGTTTATGGAGTATAAAATATCCGTATGTGTAATTGGGGCACACTTCTAGACTCTACTCTAAAAATACTCATATTATAACTGATCAAAAGTGGATGTTACTTTGTTTGTGTACATGTTGTTTGCTTTAGCTTATCCTTTCAGTAATTAAAAGGCGTAACTAACTCGTAGTCACCGTCATTGCAATGTGTTTTATGACGACAGACATACGGTTGAAAATATTTGTACACATCATCACCTACATTCTCCAATGATGACGCAATTCTCGTTCTTGCTGACATCAGAATGTCGTGTGTTAATCTCACGCCTTCGATTAGTTAACTTTAGAATTATATCTTTACTGGGTTTTTTAAAAAAAAAATCAGTGGTAGCACGGATTCGGGAATTGTGCCTGGTATATGGCTCACTCCCTATTACATGGGACTCATAACATAAATAGTGAAAAGTGGGTGTTATATTGTACAGTGGCATAATGAGCACCACTGCATACCTCTTCGGGGATAAAAGGCGTGATGTTATGTTATGTGTTATATCTTTGTTGTTGTCTTGTTGATAATATTACAAGTTCTCATTAATCTTCCTAACTACACACAATATTGGAAAAAATGTCTTAAGTAGGTACTTCATCATCAACAGCCTGCTTTCGTCCACTGTTGGACATAAGCCTCTCCAATGGCACGCCACTGAGCTCGGTCTTCAGCTCTACGCATACAACCACTACCAGCCACTTTACACGTATATCGTCACTCCACCTAGCTGGAGGGCGCCCTTCACTACGTTTACCCAGACGAGGTCTCCACTCCAGAACACGTCTACTCCAGCGGTCATCGGTTCTTCGAGAAATGTGACCGGCCCACTGCCATTTCAGCTTGCTAATCCTTTGGGCTACATCGGTAACTAGTTCTCTGTCGGATCACCACGTTACAGATCCTATCCTTCAGAGATACTCCGAGCATAGCCCTCTCCATAGCTCGCTGTGCCACCTTAAATTGTAGTAGTAGTAGGTAGGTACTTTTTTTTTAAGGGGGGAAATCATCTAATGACTGCTCCCGCCTGGGTGAGGCGGAAGGGACTGTCAGACTCTTACTGACTAAAAACCACCCCGTTCCTTCTCCTGCACGTCGAGCCGGGGCCCCGGTTAGGTTCTCCGCGACTCCGAATCGGCATCGGCCCTATTGGGCCCCATCTGTGGTGGTCTGATGGCTCTTTGAGGCGCGCGCGGAACGCGACGCGCCGTACGCTCGGGACTGTTTCTGGTCGGACGGGGAGCCACCCATGCTCGCCGTCCGCAGGCCCGCGCTAACTTAGATGACGTATAATAGTCAAGTAAACATCTAGTTGATTAAAGGAAGAGAAGGCTTGGACAAGATACAGAATTTCCATTACTCAAACTTTTCCATAACAATCCATCATTGAATAGATACTACGACGCATTTTTTCTACACGATTAAGCTAACAAATGTATGTACGTAAGCAGAACGTACGGTTAACAAAGATTACGTAAGACCAAATCCGTCATTTTTTCGCCTTGAAGTGTGAAAATTACCGTACATTACGTATTACAAAATAAATATTTGAATTTTGAACGTGTTTTACGATTAGTTTCGCATAAAGGTGGCGTGTACTTGGAAACTGCATGAACATTATTGATAGATTTGTAGATAAGTGTTCTATACATGTTAAAGTATTTTTATCAGCTCGTTAAACTTCCATAGTTTGATATTGGGCCTTATATTGTTGGTATTGTTATTGTAGCTCCAATGGTGCATATAACTAGGAACGAAAGTCATGAGAATATTAGATAGGAAATGTAATAGATAGGTACTTACCAAATATTTTCTTACTTAGCTTACCCGCAGCTCTGGGGCTCGGTACTTCCCTCCTAAATACATTTTCACTTATTCAGTTCATTTGAACACTTACTTGTTTAGTTCATTTGTAAGATTTTAAGACAAAAATACAGTCACTTAAAATGGTTTACTTGCCACCTTACTAGATGGCGCTAGTAGTTAGAAAATAACTACTTTTATGAGAAATCTCGAACACGGTACATAATGAAATGGATGATTAACGAGGTTTTGCATAACGTATTACCTATATACTATAAAATATCTAATGTTAGTATAAATAAAATTGAGAATTGATGTGGCAATAATAGCACCTATAGTCAGAATTTTAATTAGATTCCAGATTTGACAATAGCTACTGTCATTTTGTGAAATAATGATACCACATATAATAGTGTAGTGATGCACACAAAAATCGATAAACAATCAGTGTGTGTGTTTTATAATAAATGTTACAGAAAATGACAGAATAGCGATAGCGATGACGGCGACAATTTATAAAATTACTTATTACCATAATACATCTATCTGTTTTATTTGTCATGTTCCTTCATGATTACATTTTTTTATTTATTTCACACACAATTATAAAAGAAACGTCTCAGATCGTTAATTAATAGTCAAAACTAAATTATCGGTTCAGAAATATTTAATTTCCTGATAAACTTAGTTCACGAGAGTAAAATTATAATTATTATAAACGAGAAGAATCGATCCAGAAATATTTCATTTCCATATCGAATAATTTTGCAACGTCACTATTTAGTACTTGTCATAACGTTGCCACACTGAAATTGTCAAATCTGGAATCGAATTAAAATTCCGAGTATAATATTAATATTCTTTATTCCAGGATAAATTACCAAAAGACTTATTACGAGTAATAGAAGGCTGTTGGAACCCAGCAGTCATAGTAGCAGCGATAGAACAAGGGTGGGACCTTTTCGACGGGTCCTATCCAACGAAATTGAGCAACGCCGGCCATGCATTGGCACTGAACTTCGACACCAATCGACAGAGCACGGAGCCATGTATCTTAGATCTGAATGACGCAAGGTACGATTGATCTACAACCTATCACCTGATCTAACACATTTACATTGTAATTAATAGTTACATATTTTCCTCTTTTTTATTCAAGTCTAAGGTTCTGTTTTTTTAATGCTTGTTCATCATGACTATACATTTTTTCGTCTAAAAGTATGCTGTAAGTCATATTTGGGCCTGATATTTGCAAACCTGTTTGGCTAATGCCTCGGGCCAAAGTGCGAATTTTGATCACGGCGGCGGACGAAGGTTGCCTGCGAATTTGCATTTTTATACAGTTTTTTTTGGACTTCAGACTGGTTATACTTCAAAATAATATATTTTTAGAAACTTGTTCTTTAACACAAGCTCAAAGTACAAATTTTGATGGAATCCCATAATGACTACTTTTTGTTGACTGATACGCTTCATTGCAAAAAATAAATAAGTTCTAAGGTTGTAATTTGCAGTTGTTAGCCTGTCTCGTAGCCTTGACTTCAATTGTTTAAATTCATAGCGCAAAACACGTGTTTTGTTTTATTTTGTTGTCACGATGCGATTGATAATAATTTCAAAATGTTAAACATTTTTATTAAAGTACGAATAGTATCTATGCCGATGAATGTGTCGCGGAGAACTTAACGGGTAACCGGGGCTCCGGCTCGACGTGCAGGAGAAGGAACGGGATGGTTTTTAGTCAGTAAGAGTCTGACACTCCCTCCCGCCTCACCCAGGCGGGAGCAGTCATTGAATGATTTTCCCCCCTTAAAAAAAAAGTACAAAAGCTATCATGATAGTCAGTCAGTCTTGTTTTAAACATTTGCCTGGTTCATACGCACTGAATTTTATCAAAGAACATGCATGCCAGATTAGGCGTACATTTCGTAAGAATTTAAACCCGCAGTGGCGTGATACAGTTTAACCATAATTTATTAAGTTATTATCAGTTCCAAGTATCATACATCTGCCGATTTTAATGATTACCTACAGTGATATGATTAACTGCGAGTTTTTTCTGATAAAACTATACTAAATATCCGCATCGAATGTCGGATGATTTTGATAAGACGACTTCAATTAAAAATAACATTGCATCATCTTTGTACTTAGACAATGGGCCTTTTTTGTTTTAAAAGAAATGATTTACCATTAAGTTTTTGTGGTCAACTGATTTGATGTTTTTTTTCGCAATATGGCAACTTATCTACTATATTTTGTATGCTACTGAATAAGCATGAGTTTGTAACTTCCAATTCTGTATAAGATGTTGAAAACATGACAAGTTTATTTGAATTAAAGATAGACAAATTAGTTTTGTAACAAAATTCACATTCGAATTATAAGTATCTTCGCTAAAAATGTTTTTGACTTAAAATCTATGAATACAGAGTATTACTTGTCATGTTTTCTTATTACATTGACAAATTACTACTGTTGTTGTACATGTAAGTTTCCACTATCCTTGATTTGAAGAATTATTATTAATGGTTTTTCATTTTTCGCTCATTAGATGGCGCTAACAGTAGTCTTCAAGCACCTCGATCTTACACCTCGTAAGGTTTTTAATCCAATGCTTAATTTTGTTACAAGTTGACTGACTAACGATTAGACATTAATAAATATTCTACTGGTCAAAAGACCTTATGTACCACAAACAGTTTTAGGTATTTCGTTCCGTACGATTCTTATAGAGGAACTCTTTAGTTAACAACTCATTTTTATTACAGGTATACAGAAGATTTTACTCCAGTATTAGAAGGATGTGAATGTTTAACTTGTAAGAAGCATACAAGGGCGTATATCCGCCATCTTTTGAACACGAGGGAGATGCTCTCTTCTGTTTTATTGAGCATGTAAGTATATCATTATCAATATATTTATAAATACCTACATAGTAACTGATTGACAATTCATAGCTGATGTTATTTGGAACAGGAAGCTGTGCTAAGAGGATTATCAGAAATTCCTATGAGAACGAAGGGGGTACTTATGATTATGCGGGTGTGAACTACCGGGCGAGAATTAGTTCAATATATTTTGATAGGATGAGATGTCCTTACATTTTTCACATTTACATTTAAGCCTCCTTGAGATTTCACTAAATATATTGATATTCAGTTGGTTAGAACAACATTGGTTGAAACCTCATAATATTGCAATGAAATTAACGATTATACTCGAACTCGCAAGTTGCTCTTGAGACCATCAGACCACCAGGGGTGGTGCCCAATAGGGCTGAGGCGGATACGAAGTCGCGGAGGACTTAACGGGTTGCCAGGGCTCCGGCTTGAAGGGCAGGAGTAGGAACGGGGTGGTGTTTAGTCAGTAAGAGTAACACTCCCTCCCGCCTCACCTAGGTGGGAGAAGTCATTCGATGTATTTCCCCCTTAAAAACAAAATCCTAATCATCATCGAATGTGCTAGTAATACTTACTTATACCTTTAATCCAATGTAATCATCACTTTTATCGCATTTACTTACTGTCTTGTATATTGTACGAACCATTATCTTCCAGCCACAACCTTCACCACTTCGATCAGCTGTTCGTCCACGCCCGGCAGCACATCGCAGCGAACACATTCCAAATATACAAAGCCCACATCACCAAACAATACGAAACATACAAACTACCTCAAATAACCAATGGTGTAACCGACTTAAAAGAAAGTGATATTAAAATGAACGGTACTGCGAACATTAAGAAAAGATTAAGCGTGAGTGACGATGAGATTACTAGTCCAGTAGTTAATGGTAGTGTTTATTAGCATTCTGTAGAATAAATTAGTTCTATAACATTCGACGTAGTACCTCGTTTATCCAGTGTAATTATACACCCGTGTGTTTCTAATTGCTCGCGAATATGATTATGCGATAATTTAAATAATACTAAGTAATGAAACGAAATTACTGATTCTGTTTTAACTGAATAACATGTTAATTAATTATACAATTTATTTGTTTGTTTTAAGCTCTAAAAATGCACGGGTTTTGGTCTATAGTTATTTAAATGCCATTTTGATTGATGAGTTTGAATGATGACATTTTATAAAATTATGTTACTCTAAAGGGATGTTGGAATTGTCAAAAACGTTTGATACAGTTCTCTAGTAAAATTACTGCATTTATGAAACATTTTAATCAAAGGACCACTTTTATAATTAAACATTGATTTTTGACTGAAGCAACATCCCTTGTTCACAAAACAAGATAATTATTGTTATTATTTGATTAATATTGTAGTGTAATGTGTAATAGTAGGTAGCAAATAAGACTAGTGCGTTATACGAATTTCAAGTTGTGATTTAATTTATTAGTTATTTAATTTTAATTTAGAAATGTGATGTAGAACCAAAAACTAACAGATTAATTGTGATTTTCAAACAACGTTGGCTTTAAAGTCTTATTTTCGTTTATCGTTTAAAAATGCTACAAAAATTACCTACGTTTTTCGTTATTGTTCTTCATCGATTTTTGTATTAGTTTAGTGAGCGATTATTTTTTGTTTTTGTCGCAATACTCAAACTCAATTCAGTTTTAAGTCGCGCTTAAGTATTGTTCTGTCGCTGCAATTTCTTTATAAAAATACAGAGATGGCACGATATTTTAGTACATCTTCAAATTGAGTAGCCTTTCAATATTCGGGCGTAATAGTGTCGTTTGTATATCTTGGTCCTTGGGGTTTTTTTGCTTAGTTTACGTCGATTAATTAAAGGATTTTTGTCTTACGGAAGTCTCCAATAAGTGATTATGCCTCGATAGTAATACGGAACTTCTATTCACAATAAGATATAGTGCATTATGCTTATCATACATAGCCTTCAGTTATTGATTGCAAAAGATATTAAATTGATAGGAATGTTGATAGTAACTGACAAACTGATTGCAAATGTAGTGGCCAGCATATCAAGCTACTCCGATGTGTCATGTTTTGTCATTGGATTTTCGGGTTTATGTGTAAACGATAGAGTCGAAAATCTAATAAAGAAATTTGATAGAAAAGAGGAGGTTGGCTTGCTGTCTACTGTACCTGCTCAAGTATTTACTAAACATAGTACAATGTATTCACAACGCAACCATTTTATTTCATTGTCTACTTCTATAGTTGAATTTTCCTAAGAATTAGGTACTTAAAATAGTTTTTTAATTCTAGTTTTATACGAAGTTTTCCGTGTAGCCTCGATAGTTTTAAGGTTCATTGTTGCTTGGCAATTTCGTGTTAGACGTCACTTAGACAGTTTGGTTAGATGCCCTTTATCGGCTTTAAACGTGTTGAAGTTTGTTAGTTATTTAGACTAAGTGTACATTAGAGCTCAGGATCACGCGATGCGATGTTGTCGTTTAGACAATTTTGCACTCTATTTACATTAAAGTAATGTTCATAATAATTAATTTAATTTCGTTGAAAACTGCGTAATTCGTTGGCCGTGACCACGAACTATTTGCTTTCAATTCCCGGGTCAGCATTGGATTTCCTTGATTTTGAAATTCATACAGTTTATTTGATAATCTGCATATGACACTAAATTATACAATTCCTTCGTTTATCGTCTGTCTAATCTAAACCATCCGAGACAAGTAGGTGTAATTATAATATTTTATTTAATATAATTCGCGTATAATACCTAAATAATACAAAACAGTGTGGCTGTACCTAGCATTAGTAACTTATATAATTTATTAATATATTTATAAGATATGAGACCTCCTTGTAATATTAAGCAGGCTGAAAAATTATGGTTGTATGAGGAACAGAATACCAATATATCCTGACATCTCATTACATGGGACCACTGTACATAGCAAGGTCAGATGTGACTGGCCTACCTTCATGTTTTTTCACATAAGGTTCTGTCAACCATACAGCTCGTGATTTCTTACCCTGCAATGGACAACGCGTGTTTTTTATATATTAATATTCATGTTATATATTTTCCGCCTGTTTACCTTATGTAGCTTGTAATAGTACAATAAAAATATTAATTATTATTTTATTTTATCTGTTCATAAAACTTTACTTACACAAACCCTTTTGAATTGACTCAGAGACTATTTTGCTCTAAATAAACTAAAAGAACTCTAAAGAAACTATATAGTTTTGTTTGAAAACTATTTAGTTTTAGCCTCGTTGAAGGATTATTTTTTGTTGTGTCGTTAGTTCAAACATAGATCATATGTGTATGCGTGCGTGTGTGTGTGCAGGCATAATTATGCGTGTGTATTTCCATTTGGGGATATTTTGTCTTCTCTCTCTTTCTAGCGAGAGTCGAACTTGCAATAAATTGAGCACATCCACTGCTGTAAATTCAGAGTTATAATAAAATCTCCAATTGTTAAATGTACGGACAGAAATCAAAAGGTTTTTGAAACTGGTAGTTATCCTTAGTTTGACTTTCAAACCTTAGTTCATGGGTTTTAAACAACTGCTTGTTTCAATATTATTATAGGCTTTGGCTGTATTAACCCATCGTGTCTAAATGTGAATCCACGCGAGACACAATTTATTTTTCATTCTGTCTCATATACATGCATTCAAGCGGTTAAGTTTCTTTCACTGCACTCCAAATAAAATAAAAGACAAAGTATTAACACCTTTTACATATATTTTACTGACAATATTTACACAATAATTTATTTTAGTGACCACACTTATTGAGCTAGGCATATTGTATGAAATGTGCATCAAGTATGAATTTAATGTAATTCAATTACATTACAAATAGAATAATCATTTATTTTTAAAGGATTTGGCAGGATTTTGCTTGACAAAGTCACATTCCAAATACTATGCGTTCATTGATATTAAATATATAATAAATACATAAAAATATTCGATGGTAAAACTCAACTGGTACATAAAATATAAAATTCATATTAAAACTGTACTATGCTAATAACAATTTCATATAGTACAAATAAATTATCGACGCAACAAATATAGTGTATGAGAATTCATCTACTATCAAGTATTGTATAATATAATTTGGCGACACAATTGTAAATTTTACTAAGATTGGCACATTATACTGTTCACATTAGCCTACATTTTCTAGTGTGTATATAAATAAATAAATCAAATATTCATCAGAAAACAGGTCCAAGTAAAGTACACGGACGATCATATTCAAATATGCAGAATCAGTTCAATATTTAAAATATATAGGAAATCATGAGAAATTACTAACTAAGTACATTTCATTATGAAACATGAGCTTTTCATTCTCTCTGAATGCGGAAGTCTAAGAGTTTTAGGATTGCTGTAAACATGTATAATATTAAAATTATCAACTAAAGTGGAATAAAAAATTGTAAACTCTATATAAATAATTACAATGCACCTGGCATTTGATAAAGCAATATTTAGAATGTTTATACTATTCACAGTGTTAAGAGAAAATTAGAGCAAACATGTCCCTTCTAACATCTAATAATGTGATACAAATAGTACAAAAAGCAATACCAAGATCTCTTTCACGTACAGAACACAGATATAGAAAAGGGCAGAAAGCACTGCTCACCAGCCCAGCGTACCCCGAACGGTTACAGACGTCCGATCAACGCTACAATAATAATATCATCAAAAGATGCAAATCGTCCAACAAATTTAGATTTGCAACCGTAATAGCTTCACATTTTATAATCAAAGTAATAAAAATGCCTCGCTTCCTTTCATAACCCCACCGTTCTCTGCATCTGTGTATAAATAACCGAGTGTTGTGATATGACAGCCGATGAAATAATCGTAATTTTGAGATCCATCTCGGCGCGAGGCATGACAGCAAACAGAACTTTGTTCCATTAAGCTTCACTTCACTGCACTAACGCTAACTATTTTTAGAGTTTACTACAAAAATGTTCGCTTAAGTCTCATTCACTGGATAACACTATTTTAAGTATCACATGTCCTTCTCTTTCTTTTCACATTCAATGATAATATACTGTATTTACTTCCAGCTTGTACACTATACAAAGTCATTTGTACCCGGTTTGTTGAGAGGTTCTTGGGCCTGGAAAAGAGAAACAATATATTAGTCTTGTTGAATCGGGAACTTGTTCAGCTAAACATCTAAGAATCAACGAACGAATGCAACTAAATCGCACTGTGACATACATTTATCTAACATCAATGCCTATATTCAATCTACTAAAACTTACCATTATAATGCCCTCGCATGTTTACGCATGAAAAATAAATATTTCGGCAGTAAAATATTATTAGTAAAGTCTATGTTAAGCATTAGGCAGATTACAAAAATCATATTTGCTATTTAAAAGGGACTATTTACAGCATTTTACACCTACCACTTAGAGCCAATAATTTGGCAACTATTAATTAATACTGACGCGGTAAAAATGTTGGCACATTATAAATTGCCACAATCTTTAAATCTAAACGAAAATATTTCCTATAAATTCTTAAAACAATCTCTAGTAAATATAATAATTCTAAATACATCAAGTTTAAAATGTCTTAGGCAGACCTTATAATAATCTTTACTATAGTAAAATAATGCTAGTTTTCATTGATATTTACAACATTTTTATCATTTTGGCCAAGTTACACGGGGTATAATGTAATTCATTGTACACAAGAAGTGATGTTTTTAAAATAATGTTCTTAGTTTACAATTAAAATGTATGAAGAAGAAGTAGTGAGTTGTGCTATGAGACACGAACTCGTTAATTGGCTTGGCGGAGGGCAATGCGTCCTTGTGCGACTTATCTTAGACTGTTTTGTATGTTAAGCGTACACTCCATAGCTGTAAGTGCTCTCACCTCTTCGCCCACGGTACTGGGGTACAGCTTGCTGCCCGGTGCGTATCCATTCTTCTCCAGCGCAAATTGGTCCTCCGTAGTCTTGCGGTACACCGGGTTGTCGAAGTTCATAGATGTAACATTACGGTGTACGAAATGTCTGTACATAACCACTGCGATCTGAAAAGAGTAGTTATCGTTAATTTTACAAGTGAGTTTTACTAGACACGATACATCTGGGTTGGATTCGAGGTCGAAAAAGTTACATCATCTGAGAAATAAAACCAATTGGTGGCTATTAGAGCGGTTTCTAACTGAGATGCAATTTAAGACATTAACGAAGCAATTTGTTCATTAGTGTCACCAAGAAATTTCCTCTTGGTCACAGCATGACTGTTGACGCTGGTATTTAGCTAGGTGTTTACGTATAAAGGCGTATTACTCAAATCAGTGCGTACCTACGTTAATTATAATCAGATCTACATAACACCTGCGACACTACGACGAGATAAGTCTAGTGACCGATTAATATTTTCCTCGTGTATGTTGTTTTAGTCTCGGTATTTTTTAGACTTCCGCTTATTTACTTTGAACATCCTAACCTTTGGTTCTAAAGTAAATATTTTTTATTAACTTATTTTAAATCGTAATCTCAGATTGCCATTTAGTTTTAAAAGTACAACTAAAGAGGTTTATAACTTCAAGTTGCAAAATAATACAAACACTGTTTTTGAATTACGATCCTCGATTATGATAACCACCCAGACAGCATACAGATGCAAAGAACTGAGTTCGCTGAATCTCAGCACGCTGTCATCCATTATTTGTTTTTATTAACATAAATCTGAACTCAGCAATAAATTAATATAATAAAACTATCGTACGTATTGGAATGTTTGAGATAAAGACACTAACAACACGTGGTTCTACGAACTGTGAACGAATTTACATAACTTGCAAATTCTTAATTCACAGCACTGACTTGGGTGGCAACATGAGTAGTGTTGTATATCTCTGATTGACGGACACATGATCTACGTTAGAAATAGTACATATAGAAAATTTTGCACCTAATATTTCGGAGTCTTGTTTCAAAAAAGTTCCGGCCTTGTATATGTATTAAAATACATTCTAACGGGAAAGTGTCCTATTTCTACCCGAGTATCTATTTGTTTATCGTTCCGCTCCAATAACAATAGCTACTTCTGAATAGTTTCTAGAAAGTTCTGGGTACTACTAAGGTTGCTTACCAGTGCTCCCAATATGATAATTCCAGAGATTACTGCCACAACGACGCCTGCCACCATGCCGGCATCGCGGCCGCTGCTTGAGATTCCTGTTCCAGTCTTAGGTGTTTCAGGGACACCTAGAAATAAAAACAATAAAATTAATACATTGTTAAACGACACGTTTTCAAGTTCTTTAAACCTCTGCAACGTGTTCATTGATATGCAAAGCAATAAAAGAGAAAGTTAAGTAACAAATTAAATTGTAAATGAACCATATATTGCAAATACAATTGCTTTTAAAATACTAGATGGGGACGTTAATTAGAATTTAAATTTAATTGCAACTGTTGCATTGGTTTCGAACAAAACCTTCACCAAAGCAGAAGAGGTGGTTTGCGAATGTTAAAACTGAAAGCAACATAAAAACAAATGAAAACAAAGACAAGTGAGAAATGAAAGGAACTGAACTTGTTAAACAACGTAAAGATGTGAATTAATAAAATAAGTAGGATAAGTAAAAAGAATAACCGCTTGGGCTTCACAGAGAAAAGATATGTAAGAACGTATTTCCTGGTAGGTCATGTAAGTACACAATATTGGACATCCGTCCTCATCGACAAGTTCATTGTCAACAAATTAATAAGAAACATTTGAAGAAGACTGACGACAATTGAACTACACACTGACGTATATCCACAATACACAGAGCTGTTTGTTCAATTTTCTTACATCTAATTGTCAATTTAACTTTATATTTGTGTGGGTGCCTAACCCGAGTGCACTAGACATTCTATTTACAGCTAGTGTCAATGAAACGTGCCAACTAATACACTACTTAACTAAAATATCGTAACCTACTTTCACATTACATATGTTGTATCTTTTAACATTATGAATAATGTTATAGTTAACGATTGTATAAAATTTTTATATAACAGGACAGGATGAATGTTGTTTGCAATTACCATAACAAAACCCTGAAACCTAGTACTATCAATTCATCTCTATGCCGAGTGATTCAATGTAGTTTCAAATAACGCGTCAATACTTATTATGACATTCAGATCTAATTAGTTATTGTAATCATACAAGTAAAAGCAAATTGGTTTTATTTAATTTAAATTCAAAATAAAATACAATAAATTATACCATTTAAAGGCTATTGCTGTCGAATTGTCTAGAATATAATTGTTAGTTGCAAACAATTTGGTTAGTAAGATAATCACAAACGGAAATTATGTGACATGCACCCAGCTCATAATGAATCTGTGTGTCTTCCCGTAATCTTAAATGTGGTGTTTCCGACTTTAGCACAAAATTAAATAAAGTTATAATACGTTACCCTCAATATTTAAGTGTTTCAGGGCGTCTGGTAAATGTATCAAACTGATTTTTTCAAAATTATAATGAGATTCTTTGACGGGCTCCTCGGTGACGTCTGGTATCCTGTCCAAGGCGTCTCCTTTCAAGAACAGATCTATAAATGGCTGATTCCTTTTTCCCAGATCTCGTTTGTCAGTTTCCCAATAGGCCTTCATTGGCTCAGTTTCAGGTTCCACTGTTCCAGTAGTCGTTTCCTCAGTTTCCTCGGGTGCTTCGGTTGTATCTTCACTTTTCAGGAGGCCACGTCCAAGCTTCAAGAGAAGGCCAAGCCCTTCTCTTTTGTAATTCACCATAAGTGTCAAACTTTCTTAATAATCATTCGCATTCAAAATAGTAATACATCTGTTTGACAACTAGCAGATTGTCATGCCCTGCAAATCAGTCAAGGAATCCCAAGTTGAAGACACACAGATATTGATTGATCATTCACAATGAACTGTTGTTAGTTGATGGTCTGATGATTATTAGTACTACTCGATACCCATCACCGTATGTATATATGGCGATATTTTATCTTATCAAACGATGTGATTAAATGATTCAACCCAACCATGAAGCAATCTTTAATCAAAATCGTGGCGTTTGATCGACAACAATATGCTAAAATTGTGGATATATTATTTAACTGTAAGTGCTGAAAGCAAGGTTAGGTATATTTCACATTCACTTTCATTTTGATGGATTTGATTAACACAGTTGTAGGTATTCCAAACGTCACGAATCTGATTAATTAACAAACTCTGTGAGACAGATCAAGGTAGTGAACTGGTTTAACTTTTAATTGAATGTATTTCTTCAAAATACTCACTGGTTACAGGTTTTTCCTCGATAACTATGGTTTCATTTGAACCAATGGTCGGTTTATTATGCACCTCCACATCTGGTTTTATTGCATCTGTAGATTTTATGAATAAATAACTTAAATATTCCTCTTGTTTAACAATATTTTTGTTTTGGTTTTCAGTAAGTGGGTATTGTATACTGTATGTTCACACAGCGAAACTATTTCACATAAATGAGCACGGCACACGCGACACGTACGGGGTTCCGAAACGGAATGAGAGGCAGGCCGAAAACCGGTCGCGTGTAACCGCCATTGACGTTCCACCACACAGCATTTCTGTCAATTTAACTGAGCGCGATCTGGCTCGCACTTGCAAACTATGCACAGGTAAATTGTCATTGCACAATTTGCAAGTTACTGTGTATTCTATTTTATTTTTAGCATTATTATAAATGTTATGTAGATTATTTATCATCATAGTTACAGACAGAGTATTGAACATTTCTAACAACAAGATGACTAATTGGGTACACCGGACATAGAATGTCATAAATATTTTCATTCACAGCATACATGTCATACACATTCATAGATACATTTCGACTTGATTATACTTTTAAGAATAAATACATTTCTAAATAAGCAGCAACCCGGTTGAGGTAACATGTAATATAGTTGCTAGCATGCGCATGCGGCGTGCCGGATCGCAGGTAGAACCACTGAACAAAAGGTGGCGTGATGCCATGACGTCACGTCGCCTTATTCGCCAGCTGTTAGACTATTGGGCGTTCGGTTTCCACATGAACTCGAGTACATCTAGTAGGTAGGTCTGTTTGGTACACTCGCACTCAGGTGTGAGGTCACAGACTAACAAGTTTATAAAATCATAATAATGACTCATTCATACAAATTTCGCGATTAATAACCAAGGAAAAAAAGATTAATACTATTTTTCCTTCAACACTACCTAAGCTTATCGCGCTAAGCTAAGTAGGCAAATAATTTGTTTCAAAAGTAGCTTGATGATTAATACAAAATATGACTTAGCGACCTTGTCTATATGCAAACATGAAAATCAAAAAGAAAGAGCTGGCAATACCTAAGTATATTTTAAAAATAAGTACGTAAATCCTTTAATCGCGCTGAAATTATCGATTGATTGAATATTTCTGTTACGTGATTTATGTAGGTAAATACACATTACAAATCACCGCGCCACGCGATATCTACACGTAAAGTATTTCTCAAGATAACGATTTGCTTATAAACAATTATGAGTAAGAATTGTAGCGATTAAAACAATATAGATATACACTATGAGATAATGCGTAGGCGTGGTATATTCCGACCAAAATATGGTTATTCCTTGTATCTGATCAGTCACTCTAAAACATGCAGCTGATAAAAAATATCGTACGATGTGTCGTCATTGAATGACGTGGCGCATTACGTGTCCGGCGCTCCGTAGATTCGGCTGAGTATTTTTAAAATTCACATCAATGTTCTAGCGGCCTTGTCTCTGCAATGTTATTACGAAAATGATCGTCACAAGGACCGTTCTACGGGTCTCAATTGTTTTTCCTCGAATATCACGCGATCTGACGCAATGGCGTGATTGTGTGACTAAAACATTTGATGACTCGTTAAATGTTATAAGAAAGTTATTGTTAAACTCTCTTCTATACACGACTGAAACTGCATATAAAACTAGTGTTGATTTACATTCTCCTCACCTTGATCTTTACGAGTATAAATTGCTTGGAACACCGAAATTAAAAAGAAATATGAAGGTACATACAAGGCAGTGTAATTTAAAAGTGGAACCAAATAGGTAGTTGTAAAATGCTTCCTCGTTTAAAAACGCTACGTAACAAGTACTTGGTGGCATCTTTATTGATGGAGCCAGTACAATCAATCATTACTAAACGTTACCAATCGTACTAAATGTGCTTTTTATTGACCCATTCAATTGTACTTCAATCAACGAACAAATGTGTTCAATCGACGGTCACAAATAGATGATCTGAAGTTATATTTATAGGCGTGGAATCTTCACTTACCGATTTAATAAAAGTATTATTTTATTGAATATTTGTTGACTGATTTCAAGAAGTATCTACTGGCCTAGAAAGCCGAAATCTGTTTGTTGAGTAACGGTACTTATCTAGATTGATGCAGAACATACAATGTACCATATCAACGTTTATCTCCGATGGTAATCTTCCGCCAATCTATCAATCGTACAAGTGCAAGACCGAATGAGTTCTTTTTCCACGATAACCGGAAAATTTGCGGTAAAATAATTATAGGATTTTAAGGCCAATGGCATGTTAAATGGGTCTTAAGTATTATTTTTATTGTTATTACTAGGACACTGGTTTCTACTCTGTAAATAAGATCTAAATGTTTATGTGTTCACTCTCATTTTTACCTAAGCATATTTATTTGCATTGTCATTTAGTAAAACATTAAATGTCTGGGAATATCATTATGAATATTATTATAATGAAACATATTAATTACCTTGGTAATTGGAATTTCTTGTTTACAGATTTCCTTTTAAAAATGAACTCATTAAGTTTATAACTAGACATTCAAATAAACGGGATTGGCAGCTGGTAACATTATGGCTGATATTATTTATTTAGTAGGCACCTAACTTTAAATTCAGATAAATATTTAAGGCAAATGAGTACATCCAATAGGTATTCAGTTCTGTAAAATAGATTTTAATTGGTAACGTTCTGGGTCGGGTTTTCCCGAACACATACCTATTTATTGTTATTTAAATAAATACGTGTTATCCTTTTTTACACAAAAATATTGTAATAAATTTAATAATTAGCTTATGACGGTAATTTGATTTGACTACCTTATCTGCACGTGCTAATTGTAATTGTGGATATTGAATAATTAATACTGATTGTCCATCAATTGGTACCTAGTTTTTATCATTTATCATTATATAGATCTGGGGATTAAATAGATTTAACTTTTACCACAAGTTATGAAGTTAGGCTATGCTCCTCGGCTTTATTTTTGTGCCAATTCTAAATCTCCCAATGCTTTTTCTCTTATACAAGTTTTGTAGTATCGGAAATGCAATTGTTTGTAAGCTATGCGCACACATACGAGTAATGCGGCGGCGTAATAAAAGTAGGTGTATATATGTGTACATACATTTCGGCGATTAATTTTAACTGAAATTAGAATTTTGGATGTATCATAGGTAATAAATAGTTCCAGTTGTGAATTCAAGACGGCGTTTAGTTGCGAACCTGCATTGTATAGATATTTTCTGTACACTAGTTAGCTTGTAAATCGTCAAAATAACATTAGTTAAAAAGTTGCTCCGTCATTCTGACTCGAAATTTACCTTGATAGAAGTCGATTGCTACAGTGAAATCAGGAATTATTCTTAATGACTTGGAATTCTAGTCAAACATAATGCAATCCCATAAATATTCCTGCTCATCATGAGGTATTAATTAAGAGCACTTAAATATTTCACTATAAAGTAAATAAACCTATATTATACATACATTATGTTCCGAAATCTAAAAAAAAACCCGAAGTTAATTTTGTCCGAAAACATAATAATAACGGTATTCAAATATCAACAAAAAAAGTGACAAGAAAAACCGGATTACGCCGGTTCGATTTGTAAATAACACGCTCTTACGTCAATACCAGTAGTGTTTAGTGAAAACGTCAACAAATTAATAAATTGAATGAAAATTTTATGGACAATAGATCATTATCATTATTTACCTTCACGCGTTGTAATACCCGAAATCACGTCGCGACGCATATAAAATTAAATTAATCTTCAATAGGGATAATTTAGATAAGTAAATTTACCGTCTATGTTATTACGTGTGGGAAATCACCTAATTTCTAGATATAAGCCTATAAATTAATATGCATAAAAACATGATAATGTAAATCGAAAAGATTGTACAGAAGTTGATAGACGCTAATCGCCAGCTCTCGTGTATTCCCACGTGAGCTCTAGGCATACTACGGCACCTATAAATTTCGGCAAACAATTTGTAAAATATACAAAATTTTTGTATGTAACGTTTAGCGAAGCTCTCAGATGGATACCAGACTAGTCTGAAACTAAACTAGGCATCTACATAGTTGATTCAATGCCAATTCGTCTAGTCGTTTGAAATTTTAAACTGTAAATCTGTTTAGGCCTTGGTGTAACGCATTGTAATTTATCACTGTTACTTAATAGAAGGAGTGCCCAGGAGCTAATTTTGGCAATATAAACAAAGTTGTTGACACATAAACAAGGAAGTTTTATAAATAACCTCGGTGTTCCATCTTACTGATGCGCAACTATGACTTTTGTTTTTTTAGTACAGGTAAGTACTGAAATCTCGTATAGGTAAGGTAGGTACTTACCTAGAAAAATAATCTGAGAATACGTGAGAATCTCAAGTACGTCAGACACTTATTTCTACGCAAAAATATTTAAAATTTACAAATAAACATTCTCGTAGTATCTCATTATGCATTTTTTGTCATTCTACAAACTATTTACGACGGATTTTCATTGCCGTTTGGGAAAAAAGTATCATTAAGTACGAAGTAAAAAGTGAGATTACCATACAACTAGAAGGTCAGGGAAACAATTAACCTCTTGAAATTAACTGTTTCAGTGCGATGTATTCGATAACAATCAGTATGTTGGTAATTCTAGATTACAGCATGATTGTCGTTTTCAGTACCAGTCGAAATTATGTCAGAAGCATTGTGCTACTGTCTTTTGTTGTTTGAAAGAGGCACTAAACTTTATTTTTATCACTTATCACCAAGAAACAACTCCACTAATCACTTATTTCTTCAAAAATCGTAGCCTCATCCGCGCCGTACTCAAATTAGTCCGTTTTTGGTCCAAAAATAAAATAGTAAATAGTAAACAAAAAGAAAAATAAATACAAATAGAAACTTAAATCTACTCGCGTGATGTCACATTTCTGTAAAAAAGTATCGATTAGCAAATTAAGAAAGATCCACTTACTGTCTTCGACGCACATCTGGTTGTCAGGCAGCAGTCTTAGTCCGTTGGGGCATGCGCAAGAGACGCGTGGCGCGTGGGCAGCGATGCGCGGTGCAGGGAGACAAAGATGGGAGCAGTGACCATTGACAGCAGCGCAATGGTTCACACCATCGGGCTGACGGTATGGGTGGTACACGTGGATCACCATGGGGTTTTGGAGCTGTTGATGGTAATGTGTTAATAAATTGGCATTAGATCAAACTGAAAACTTTATAAGCGCACAATTTTTTTGCGATTCTCATCATAGTTCTTTGGCTTCTTCCACGCTCTATTCTAGTCATGTCTGTATTTGGACTTTTGTTAGTTCAGCTAAGCTGAAATAGACTGTCGTATTGGACTATAACAAAGAATCCCAAATTCATTTTAACACTTCGTTGTAGAAGTCAATGTTTTATATCTGAACTGAGTAGAGTTCAGATACCATACGTAAAAATGTTTTGTTTTAATGTAAACGTAAATATACAACTGATATGACTATCGAGTCAATGAAATACTACATAATATATTACTTTAGGTAGGTACTCTCTCTCGTAGACAATCAATGGCAGGGTCAAGAGTTAACCTTCCTTACGTTGCCGTAGGTACCTTATATTTAATATGTCTGAGTTAATAATTTAATTTCGATGTCAAGGAGGTTATCGAAGAGAAGATAATGAAAGAATTATTAAATGTAAAGCTGCCGTACAATTATAATCTCTAGGTAGGTTCAACAACAAGTTAATCTACTCCAATCTGTTTTTTCTTGATACACTTTCAATCTTATTGTTTTTTGCAATAAGGTTTAAAATCTATTTGATATATACCCCCTTTGATTTTAACTTACGTTGTGAGTAGGGGTGATAGCCTCAATGTCTTTTCCGTTGAATTTGTTGGCGCGGTAGACGGCAGCTTTGTCCCAGTCGGTCCAGTAGACCCAATCCTCGAAGGTGGTGATTGAGAATGGATGACGTAACACATCTGTGGAGTACAGGATCACCCTGCGACCGGTACCGTCGTAGTTGCACGAAGAAATCATGTTCATTTTTGCGTCCACCTGAATACACAAAAAAGTTCATTAACCTAAGGAAATTGTTTGATGTGATTTTATTACGATGTTGTTTTAAAACGCAAATTGGTGTCTGAAAGCCTGTCAACATACATCTTAAGGAAATAGGTAAGAAAAGAAAAAAATAAAAAAAATACATGTTTACAAATGATTCATTTCCAAAAATTAAATACAATTAATCATACAATCAATAATAGGCACATTATCAGTAAAAGTTGGTATAATAATAATAATCTCTATCTATTAATTCGATAAAAAATCAAAATACGAAATCGATTCTACTTAAATTGATTACTTTCGTATGTAATGCTATTAAGTGATATTTAACTATTTATGATAAAAACTATTGTTCTGGAAAAACCATGATTGTTTCAAATATTATTAGATAGTTAGTGACTATGTTTCAGTATTATTTGATTCAGCATTAAATTACCTAGCCGTCTATTGTTTGCATGCTTGTAAACAATTTAAGACCAATGTCAACTTATTTTCTTAGTGTTGGTTTGCTTAAACCATTAGAGATATTTTTTTCAATGAACAGCCACCGCCTATTTACGATATTATGGCGGATCTTGCAGAAATGCGTCATCTTTAGTATGTTAAGGAAATTTCCAAGAAACATAAGGAAACGTTGGCCATTCTTTGACATAGAATCACCTATTTGTCTTCTTTCTTTTTTGCACTTACCCAATAAACACGTTTGCGGACAAGATCCAGTGTGAGACCATTGGGCCATTTGACGTCATACGACACGATGGTCTGCCTGTGGGAGCCGTCCATACCAGCACGCTCGATCTTAGGTACCTGACCCCAGTCTGTCCAATACATCCACCTAATCAAACAAAATTAAAATAATTAATTTTATTTACAGTATGTAAGTCGAAAAATGTATTGTATGTAAATCACTTATATTCGGTAACAAAACGATTCGATCTAGAATCAACTTCAATTATGAGTTAACGCAAAAATTATCACAATAATGCGGAAACACGCTAAGTTTGATACCATTTGAATTGAATGTTGTGTGTGTGAATGGTAATTCTGTTAGCATGTAAACACGAAATATGGAAAACTTCAGTTCCATGACGGCATTCATTTTCACCGCAATTTGTAAGCCATTGTGTATTCATTTGAACAGATTGATACATACATATAACTAGGTATATGAGCAGTCAATAAAACCAGTATCTCTTTTATTAATGTTAAATTAATTTCAATAAAAATAATAAAACAATTCAGTATTTAAGGAACATTGTGAACTTTAAAATATTAAAATGAAAATCGTACTTAAAGCATTTACGTCAATGTATAATCATCTAGATGACAATATATTGTCGCGATCCGAAATAAGACGGCATTCTTGAATCAACTGATTGAATTTGCCTTCAGTCAAATAACGTTAATAGATCTGAAGACATCCGTCTGCCGTTGATTTTATGTAGAACAAGAAGCAATTATATCCAATTTGGTGACATTCATTTTTGTGCATGCTATAACCTTCTCCGTGTGAGAAGAGGGTTTGCTTAGCAGTGGGCACTTATAGGCTGTTGATGATGATGATTTTTGTGCATTGTTAAATTACAATTAGTCTTTCAGCAGTCACAGTTTTTCATTTATTTGAGTGCTTTCTCTTCATACTTTTAATCTTTAACGATGCCTTATATATTTTATGTTATAATACCTATACGCGTACCTATAACATTCTGCAGTATTATCTTATTTTGTTGTAGGTTTAAAAATAATAAGTCTAATCGTAAGTCCTAAGTGAATTAGTCATAGGTACCTGTAATAACTGTACATTAATCACAATACTAATTTTGTTCCCAAAATAATGGCGCCATTTTATCTTTTAAAAATATCTTGGTTGATAAAAGAATTAATGATAATTTATTTTTAGTATTGGTGTGTCATACTCTTAGTTTACATCTAAAGATAGCATTTATATTTTCTTTAGGTAACTGACTGTGTTGTATTTGTCAGATATGCTTTTTTTGAAAAGATATTTGAATCTTGAAACTCAGTAGTAGCACTGAGTCTGGAAATGTGCCCGGTATGTGGCAATAGACTCACCCAGGCCCTATTACGTGGGACACATAACATAAATAGTGAAAAGTGGGTGTTACATTGTAAATATGGTGGCATTAAGTGCCGTAATTTGCACCTCTGCCTACCCTTTCGGGGATAAAAGGCGTGATGTTATGTTATGATATTTCTTTGTGTTTATTTCAAGTTTTAGTGAAAGAATCTGATGGTATGCGAATAATATTTCTGACTATATCCACCCCAGAATACGTTTGATCAAAAATTGAGAATATATGTTTTGCTCTGTAAGTACCTACTCCCGTGAGCAATGTTTGGCTTGTTAAATTCGTATGACTTATGACTGTTGAGTATTGATTTCAATTTGCCGGAAGATTAATTTAAAACTACCTGGTAGTCATTTTATGGGTGATTCAGACATAAAGTTAATTACTCCATCCAGGATAATGGCATCATCAGACGCGTGCACTTAATTAAGGTGTCCAGTGTCAAACATAGGTGTTTGTACCATTATAGATCTTGCTAACAAATATGTGCCTAAAATAACCAACTTTTGCTTGTGGAATTTTAACGAACTTCCAATACAAGATATTATTGCGTAGGCAGGTACCTATTTATGCACTGCTGAAGTGTGTAAACACATTTACAGCAACACATTTACAGCAGTGGATATTCTAATATTTTTGGATTAATTTAAGAGGTTTTATTCCACTAAAACTTTCTGAACAATCATTTATTAAAACGATATATGTGAAAAGATTTCCGTTTCGGAGATTATGTAATTTTTCCGTTTCGGATGAACATAATAATAGTAATAATGTTTCTGTTCACAATTTATTACCCACGTCATAACCATGACTTAAGTTTTTTTTTCATTCTGAAATTGATTAACATTGTTCTTATTCATTAAGTAGGTAAATGTGAAAAAATGGTTCCGTCATCAACTCAATTTTATTGCGTATTCATGGTTTTTATTCTAAATCAGAGTACGTCACTGAGGCCTAAGGCCTAAGGTCTTTCAGTCTCATCATTGTCACTGTCAAACACTTAATACGTCATTGGAATTAACTAATATTTTCTTTTGATATCCAAAAAACTTTAAACTATTGTAAACGTTTTTATATTGGTAATAATGCCAAAAGAAATTACATCTCTTACATATCATTCAGTAGTTATCCATTGCCTATACCGAGGGCTGGGCTCGCTGCCATTGCAGCGGTAAGACCCCTCTTTGAGGAGTGGCTTGAGCGACGCTACGGCGTCCTCACCTACCGCCTGACGCAGGTCCTCACCGGACATGGAAGTTTCGGGAGGTACCTGTGTCTGATGGGGCGGGAGGAAACGCCCGGGTGTCATCACTGCGAGGACCGCCCTGAGGACACGGTGGAACACACCGTAGCGGAATGCCCTCAGGGAAGTGATCGGCGATGGCGACCTCTCGCGTCCGGGCCTAGTGCAGGCCATGATGCGGAGCGAGGGGGACTGGGATGCCGTCTCCTCCTTTTGCGAAGCAGTCATGCTAGCTAAGGAGGAGGCGGGACGCGTGAGGCAGCGAAGCGCTGCCTCCTCGCAACCCAGCCATCGCGAAGGACACACCGGGCGTCGGGGATCGCGGGACGATCTCCGGCCACCGTAAGCGCGGGCCTGCGGACGGCGAGCATGGGTGGCTCCCCGTCCGACCAGAAACAGACCCGAGCGTACGGGGCGTCGCGTTCCGCGCGCGCCTCAAAGAGCCATCAGACCACCACAGATGGGGCCCAATAGGGCCGATGCCGATTCGGAGTCGCGGAGAACCTAACGGGTAACCGGGGCTCCGGCTCGACGTGCAGGAGAAGGAACGGGGTGGTTTTTAGTCAGTAAGAGTCTGACACTCCCTTCCGCCTCACCCAGGCGGGAGCAGTCATTCGATGATATTCCCCCCTTAAAAAAAAAAAAAAAAAAAAATCCATTGCCTATTGAAGTAGGTATGGATTTAAGAATTGTATAGTGAAGAAAACTCAATTCATTATATTGACTTGCATAATGTTACCTCATTTGTAAAATACTAGTTTATTGGTGCTTAATATGTATTTTCTTTCAAATTTGCATGCCTTAAAGGTAGAATATGGTTAATGGACACTATTTTTACCGACTTCAAAAAAAGGAGGAGGTACTATGTTCGCTGATTGTTTTTTTTGTTGGTTCGCACATTACTCCGCCTTTTGTAAACCAATTTCAAAAATTCTTATTCTATGGCGCCGACTTCTAACCTATCAGTGGGTGGGTAACTTGCCAGTACTAAAAATAGTTTTGTTTGTTATTAGCTTTTGGTTTTTTGAAGTTGGTTTTTTAAACGCAGTTTTTATTTTATTATGTATAAGACCTTTTCTTTTGTACCTATGTTTGCAAATGAATGATTATGATTAATTGTTAAAAAGATGAAAGTGCATCGTTTTAGGTTTTGTGTTGAAAGATGTGCAATCATTTTTAAGGCGTATCCTATGTCCTTCGTTTTTGGAATGTTATATTTCACCTACATAAATATTTTAAACAAACATACCCATCAAGAGGGTTCAAAGCAATTGCTCTTGGTTCTTCCAGCTGGTCCCTGATTAGGATCTTCCTCATATTGCCTTGGAGGTCTGATAACTCAATGTGATTCTTTCCAGTGTCCGTCCAGTACAGATGGTTATAGATCCAGTCGACAGCGAGCCCGTCTGAAGTGATCAGCTGGTCTCCGATGACCACCGTCCTCTGTGTACCTTCGTCGATTGGTGCCCTGAGTTAGAGAACAGTATTTATTACATACAATTTTGTTTACATAAGTTTGCGTAAGCTGTACTTAGTGTAAAATTTAGCTCATTATGTAAATAAATATTTTTATAGTCATTGTACTTGACAGTGTTACGTAATTTATTTATATCATTGTTAGATGAATTAAACGGTAAAGCGAGTGTCTATTGTCTTAAATATAGTTGATGTCCCTCGAATTATCATTTACTGAATCTACACACATGACCTTCTTTAGTTATAATAGTTTAAATCCAGTAAAGAAGTAATGTGTTAGGAGGAGAAATTTTAAGTAGTTTATGGGTGTGCTTTACTCAGTGTAGTTTCACTACGCTTGGTATATGGATTTGAGTTCTGGTAACCAGGAATATGTATGAATTATTGTATTTTGTGTCGTTACAGAAACATTCCTTAAATTGCAATCTTAAAATAGGAAATCTCTTATGAATATTTTCAACCGGCCAGAAATACATTTCAATGAATGATACGTAAAAGTATTGATTGTGTTAATCGTGTTCTGGTGGTTTGACCATAAACTTATCTTAAATTAATGACTCGCAAATCTTTTACAGAAACTATCCAGTTTGAACTTCAAAGCCCACCCTTAAAACCTGTAGCTATCCAAATTCTGAATTTTTCGATTCAAAGAAGCTCTAGGAAAAATACTTACTTGTAAATCTTCTCATCAGTGACGTCACTCCAAAAGATCATTCCAGTTCTGAACACGTAGTCTAACGCTGTAGCTGACTTGGTATCATTGACAATAGCTACCATTTCATGGTGGTCAAGGCTGATTTTGCGGATATCAAATCGTCTAGCGAATAAGAGTGATGGATGTCCTTCTGTAGCCTTACACCTGGTGCGGTCGCGAGGGTCTCGAGCATATCCAGCATGACATTCACATTTGAAGGTCCCTTTCTCGTTGATGCACATCTGAGAACATGCGCCAGGATCTGAACACTCGTCCACATCTGAAAAATAGAAAATAGTGTTGACATTACTAAAAATTTCTTGTTCTTTTTAAACTTTCTAGTAATTTCATTCCGAAAATGTTACTCTTCATAGATTTATTTATAGACTGTTTATTATGAGTCGGACGATAATTATATCTGAAAATAAATATCGCACTTTGTTTTTATCTTTTCCAATGAAACATTAATAGGTATTTATCAAAACTAAGTATTAAAGAAAACGAAACTGTTAAATTTTCCTGTTATAGTTGTATCTGATTCGAAGAAATTTATCATGTTTACGTTCCTATGATAAATAAATATTGATTTACCTAATCTGTTTTGTCAAAAGATTAGTAAGTAACCAGTTTTAATTAGTGACAAAAACATCTTTATCAGGTTATTCTTTATTACTGATTAATTTGTCTGTATGTAATGCATAATTCCTGAATCACCAATTAATCACTTGATGATCACGAGCTGTTACGTTATTGTACCTAATCAATGCATCGACCTAATTTTTTCACGTAGATATCTTAATTGGTTTCAAATACATTTTATAAAGACTAATATATATAAACTAAACCTAATCCTATAAGATGACATAACTAATCATCGTTGGACCATTCATGTCTTAATCTTGAAAACCTACTGACGTAAAGTGGTCCCAAGGCAATAAAAAGCAAAAAAAAATATTTTTGTTTCTGGCACTTATAAAATTCGTATTGTTTGCATACAGTTTTCCTGGTAAGTATATACAATTTTACATAGAAGGTAAATATCTGGTCTATATTATTGCTTTACTTAATTCTTTGACTAAACTTCTCTTAATTCTTACCTTCACAAGTCCTATTGTCCACAAGCTTGTATCCTTTATCACAATCACAGTAATATCCGACTGGGGTGTCAACACATCGTTGTGTGCATCCTCCGTTGTTCTTCGCACATTCGTTCTCCCCACACCTGTCTCGAGGCTCGTCCTCAAAGTTCGGGCAATCAGGATGCTTGTCGCAGACCTTCGACAGAGGGATGCACATTCCACCTCCACAGTCAAATTCTGTCTTCTTGTCGCATACAGTCTTCAATACAGCTGAAATGTCAGATTTGTTTGGTGAGTACAGTTTCATAAAGTTAGAAGCAGTAGTTTTTATTAGTGATCTATTTTATGAGAGAAGTGTAGATGCACTATACTTAAACAGACGTAATTACACAAGATAGTTTGCTACTAACTAGTAAATAGCTCAGACGTTTACGAGTCAGACATTAAGTACATTTCTAACTCGCAAATGTGTTTGTACTTTCATAGTTTTATCTACAGCGAGTATGTTTTAGAAATAAATACTCACTGCAATTTAATTCGTCGCTACCATCAGGGCAGTCTTTATCTCCATTGCAATACAAGGCTCCGGGGATACAGCTGTGGTCTTTGCACTGGAACTGGTCCAGTCTACAGGTGACGTTGCCTCGGCAGAGTTGAGGGTCTTCATCTCCTCCATCAGGGCAATCTCGGTCGCCATCACACACCCACGCTTTATGGACGCAGGTCATGCGATCTTTGCATTCAAATTCTGATGATATGCATGGAGATCGTACTTTTGGTGTAGCCGTGCAACCCTGGAAAATGAAATTGATTAGGTTAGTCGAATCAGAAATAATTATAAAGTAATATTCAGATTTGTAATTCGTTGAAATTGTTAAGTGTTTTAGATTAGCCATGTTAAGTATATTGAGACAAAGACCCTGATTGCTTGCTACATAATACGTTTTATACACCATACATGTTTTTAATAATTATATTATGTGCGACTTATATTTGAGTCATTTGCATTATATCATATTGCCGTAATTAGTTTTGATTGAATCATATATTACTAACTGTCCATAATCCATCGATTAGATTAAACCAAATTATAATAATTATACCTAATTTTTAGATAAGACGCAAACACACACGACGTATAGGTAAAGTTACGTCTGGGTGGTCGCTTCTGTGAGTAGGATTTATTATCTCTTCCGTCGTGTTGTATCTAATTACTACTAGATTAAGTTGAAATGGTAAGCTACAGATTACTTATCTTTATCTTTACTTGCTTTAATATACGAATAACTCTTGCTACTTATTCCTTGTATTGCTAGCTTGCTAGACTTTGCACGCCCGCTTTTTGCTTTATTCCAATTTACAAAAATTAACTTACCACTTCATCAGTTCCATCAGGACAGTCTTCAGTACCATCACAGCGCCACCATGCTGAAATGCAGTGCCCATTTCCACAGGAGAAGTGTGTTTGTGGATGGCAGGTGGGTGCAGGACATTTAACTTCGTCGCTATCATCCCCGCAGTCATCGTCTCCATCACACACCCATCTCAGCTGGATGCATTTACCATTGCCGCAAGTAAACTCATCCGAACGACATGTTTCATCTAATAGATTACAACTTAATTAGTATTAGATTAAGGGTGAATATTCAACAAGAATTCGAACTTTGTAATGTATCTGTACTCATGTATGTGCAGAATTTCTTGAAGCTATTGTTACTACATACATTGGAAACTTCCAGACGCGACAGTGTAGTTCAAATTCTTGTTGAAATTTTCCCGGTGCATGCCGTTTACATAGCACAGAGTAAAAGTAGACAACATTCAATGTTTCCATACATATTTAATTGTCATTTAAGAACATTGGCGAAATAGTTTGGCGATTTTTCAAATAAACCTTGAAAACATTACGTCAGCACTGAATTAATATCAGGCTCAGATAGGCATTAAATTTAATTATTGCTTATTCTCTTAGAAAAAGTATTTACATTCATTATAAGAAAACGAGTCCTTAAAATAACAATTTACGTTTTCAAGCCTAAATAAAAACAATGAACACATTTTTAATTAAAATTGCACAATCGGTCATGTCTAATATTTTCGCCAACCCTCTGAAATGAGTTAATAAACATTGTCTGGCAGTGAATTGGTAAATTAGATGTTTTTGCCTCGCTCAATGCAAATTGAATAATAAAGCGAATTGTAATAAAAGGCAAACTAATTTTGAGCACAAAAGGTTTTCAATTCACTGCTACAATGTTGCAAATAATATAATTGTTTTGTATGTGTCTGAAATGTCAGAAATTCACGTACAGTATAAAGAGCACGATTAATTTTAAACCCACATAACATTACGCATGTATTATATCGGAAAAGTATATAGAGTTGTATGTTCTACAGAGGAACTACGATATGATGTAGTAAGTTACTCAGATAACTTCCAGGTCTCACCTTAAGCCAGTCGTCTTTTTCGTATGATAATTTAATTTGTGTTTCGGTTAGTGAGATAACGTTATAGACATTATACTTGGATAAAATATGATTAAATATGCGGTTAATATATTTTTTCAACCTTATTATCATACAATATTTTATTACATTTGCGTTTATCATAAAAGATAATTTCAAAGGAGATACTCTTTCACCATTTTGTATTGTCTAAGAATCTTTAGGCGAATCAAGCAGTAGTTAATAAGATAAACGATGACATGAATGTGATGAGCCTTCTAACCGTAAGGAAAGCTCCACATGTATTGAAGAAGGCACGCAACGTCATCGCTCACGCCACTGTGTCGGACCAGTGTGGGTAGATAAGAATTTATAGATGGATGAGCCGAGCGTTGATAGAATACTCTGAGTTTACTGGAGTCCGACTCCATGATTGATTGGTGCTGCCGATACCGAGCACGAATCGTTAAAAGTTTATCGTGTGAAGCTGGCGAAACTAAGTCAACATTCAGAATGAAAACGAATGACTTATTATTGTTTAAGTAAATTATTATAAGAAAAATGCTATGACTTATAATTTTTTGAACAATTATTAAAGAGTTAGAATTTCTCAACATTGAATACTATTTATTAATTGCTGAATGATTTTCAGATTTTTTATGATTTCTTCGGGGAAAAACCAGTATATACGATATTATTATTTTACATTTTAGGGACTTTGGCTCAATGTTTATTTTAAAAAGTATCAGAAGCTTATCTCTATGTGTTCTACTAGAGATAGAGATTCAAAACTAGTGCGTCACTCGGACTTTATAAAAATAAAAACAGTGTCACAAAATACGTCACATAACGTTAATGAAATAATAACATTGAAACACATAACTAGGTAAACGGGACACTGGAGATATCTGAGAATATAGTAGGTAGTTATAGTTATACGTGTGCTCTTTATACTTTAGTGATAATAACTTAAACAGTACGATAAAATATATTTAGGTCGGCATCATGCAGTTTCCACATTGTCATTATTTTGATATCTGTATGGGGGGTACCAATGAGTGAAAAATGCTGTTGTATACCTTTATGTATCAAATGCTGACCTTTGTGTAAATGTAAACAAATTCAAGAGTATTTATGTATCGACATAAAAATATAAGTTTTAAGGAAATGGTTGCATTAGATGTCTTTTACATAATTACTCAAGTATTATGTTATAAATCCAGTCTTACTGCATGCTTTTTCATCTGATCCATCAGAGCAGTCCGCATTGTCATCGCACATCCAAGTGAGTGGAACACATTCGCCGTCTCTTCCTCTGCAAGTGAATTCTTCTGGCCCGCACGACTTCACCTCTGTCAACCCATTCATGCACATGCTAAGTACGATGCTAATATAAGACATGATAAAGTGACAAATCCGTTTAGGGATGATCTGATACCTATCCGTTGTATTCTTATCCTCCCTGCTGTACCCTAAGCCCTTTGGGTCTTTTTTCCGTAAAATATATCAACGAGGAAAATTTTCCTAACTAGGACTCCAATTACTTTGATGTCCCTGTAAAATAATTAGTTTATTTTACTTTTTATTTTCCCTAAAAGTTCAAACCGTAATTGCGTATTTTCTTTGTTTTAATTTACTCTGTTGTGGTCTTGTAATCGATTCTTAGGGCAATAAAGTTGGTAGTAAAATAGTAAAGTGAACGTTCGAATGATAGAAAATCATAACTATAATATTCATCAAAATTGAAGAAGTTTATAGCGCTCGTAAAATATGCTTTTATACTCGCATGCTTATGACGGTCCTAAATATGACGACCCGAGGATACCGACATGCCAATTGTTGTTTCATGCTTTGATCTTTACGAGACCACGTTCTTACCACACTGGTGTTCGTCTGAGCCGTCCAAACAGTCGGCCACATCGTCACATTTCCACGAGATGGGTATGCACTGGCCTGTTGTGCACACAAATTTGTGCTCCGGACAACGCCTTTGCGTAGCTGTATACGAAATTTTGAATGATATCGAGCATCCCTTTTTATCTCTACTCTTTTATTAGGGTTTACTTTATGAATCAAATTCACTTTTTTACCCATCGACGTAAATCATATCTGTCCTGGCAACATTAAACTGGTTACTTCACTCCTGGAGCGCTTTTCCTACTAGTAAACCATTTGCGAGAATTTAATCGAGGCGCAAACAGTTTATAAGAATTAAAACTATCTGTGATCAGACATAAATGAATCAGGAGGCTTGTAATATAAACAATTTACACTGATGTAATTAATCTTGGCAAACGGACCGACTAGAAACGAGGCTATCAGTACCAACTTAAGTTGACAAAGCAAACACGTTTAAAATGCTAGCCAAGTGCTTTAGCAATATAATAAATGGTCATGCTAAGCACGGGCACAGCTAAAACGTAATTAATGATTCTAAACAGTCCCTTATTAGAGTGTAATGTTGTTTTGCGACGAAGCTAACGAAATTCAACAGACGCAAATTGAGAAAGCTTCAGTAACTCCTGCTGAAAGTTTTTGCTGGGGATCTACTGGCTATGTACTAACTATGTACCTACTACAGTACTCAGTCTAATGCATTTAAGCTACGTTCTATAGGCAACTTACAACGTTAATGCTATTTTCTTAAAAACAAGAAAGACCATCAATCTTTATCTCAAATCTTAATAGCTTTATCTCAAATCTGCTTTATTTTATTTTACCTCTCTTAAATTATAATGTATTTAATGAAGGCTTTATATTAATTGCAATAATTCATTACTTTAGTCCTTTTAGTTATTTACAAATTTATTCGCGAGTTCAGTGGGCGAATTCAAAACTGTTTTATTTATTAAAGGTAGCAAAAGGTATGAAATTGAATGATGAACTCTTAATATTATAGTAGGTATATAGGGTATTATAGTATGTTCATAAGATAATAAAGCATAAGACATTAGTCTTGAATATAAAACTAAAAATTACTACATGGTTGGGAAAATCCTACTTGTAACTACGCGTGTAAATAAAGTGCAACGTATGATTAAATAAATAAGGCGAGTGACAAAGACATCCAAATGTGTAATATCCACGAGCTTAGGACTTCTCCTTTACCGCGAGAAACATGACACCATAAAGCTTACTTATCCCGGAAAATAGCGTTACAGTTGAAGCCTGGGTGATAAATACATTTGTCAACAAGAAACAACAAAGCCAGATTAGCTATATAAAGTTGATGTATATAACCATCTCCTACATTGTCGCCTACAAAACATGTCGTGTCCCTGCCAAATAAAAAAGGATTTTCCATTATGTGGGGCGACTTACAGTGGCTCTAAGTGTACAAAGTTACGCCCGCGGTTGCCATAACCCCACCTCCGCTAAATAAAACCTTCGCAAACTTTCACAAGCATTTTATACACACCGTTGCAGTTTGAGAAAAACAAGGAATTAAGTCCCTTTGACTCTGGATAAACTCTTTTTCTAAGTACTTTTGTTTGTTTGTTTCATTACATTATGAATTCAATAATGTCCAAAATATAACTCTGAAATAATTAATGATCTAATAATTTCATTCGAATTCTCTAATGGACTTTAGCTATTGAGAAATTTATAAATTACCTTTATTATACTCCATTGTTTTTTCCTTTCCCTAACTTAAACTAAAAAATACTTATTTTACTCGAAGAGAAAATATCTATTTCTGTCTATTCGATGTGTCATAAGCGCATACATAAATACCGTAAATTGTGAGGAGGCATGTTAATTTTACGGGTCACTTATATTGAAAAGTGTCGGTGATAAAAATCGCAATTTATAGCGTGACCCTCCCATGGATCGACAAACGAAAAAAAGCGAACGCGCAATTTTCTACTCGTTTCACATTTGAATAATGGGGTGGTCAGTCGTTTATTTCATACACTGTCTTTTTTAGACCTCTATCTCTATTTAAACCGAAAATGCAATTCCGTGAAAATTTTATGCATGGTAAGGTAAATTGTGTGGGTACTCGATTTTCCCGCGCTTTTTCAGTCTAGCTATGAACGAGGATTGTGGTAGCGAAATACCTATTGGTATCTCATATTTTATGCGTTCAGCACATGAACAAAAATCCCCAGGGGCTCACTATTTTCAGCTAGTTCCATCACGTTACCGATATGAGAACTATAAAATTTTCATATCAACCTGTCATTTTTGTTTTCGCTTGAAAAGCAAACTACATTTTCATATATATTGAAAGTTTTATTACTTAAGAAATTATTTTTCAAAGCTTAGGTACTCAAGCCACAGAGTAGTTAGGTACGATAAGTAAAATTACTCAAGAGCCTTGAAACTTAAAACGAGGTTGACGGTTTAGGGATTACGTCAGAGAATGACAATTCCCGTTACCGAACCGATCAAAAATTAAAACTCGGGAATGACATGATTAAAATACAGTCATGTAGACATGTCAGTTTCCGACATGACCAGGTCCAATTTGCACCGTACATTCCCACCGTTATCTCATGTGTCAACCATAAATAAATTAACGCGATCCTCTGCGCACCCCATGGAATGTTTAAATTCGTATTACGTGTTTTATTTAAATACCACAGGCTCTCCTCGGCAAAAATTCATTCGGGAGTCCCCGCTTCTTTGTGAATATTCTCATTTTTTACACTACGTTTACTTGTATATTATAAAATTTTATATAAAAGTATGCGTCTTGTTGCTACATAAAAATCACAAAATAAAAACTTATAAACTGCACCCATTACGGTAGATTAAAAATAACCACTCTCATAAAAATGTATTATGTTCTTGAATTTTGATTTTTATAGGAACAGGTGAGAGGCTAAAGATTATAAACTCAATCCTTAAAAGTTGGTCGTAATTAAGATTTTAATCTGCGTTGGAAGTCCCGCTAAGGACAAAATACGCGTATTTCAAAAGTTTACCCATAAATCGTTAGATAATTATTTTTTACGGTTTCAGTTCTTGAATTGATGCCATCCCATTACGTTGACCTCCTGGCGCCAGATATACGGTCTGGATGTTGGTAACCGAGCAATTATTTGAATTAGATGTAATTACTGCGAAAGATAATAACAATCTAATGATAATCTATTTAAGATTTTGTGAAGCACGAATTTTCGGAATTAGATGATACATTTAAGCTGAAACGTTTTCGTTATTTAAGTGTCCAGCTGAAAATACATTAAACTATTTTATTTTGCGTAAAATAATTGTCCATTAGAGTTTTTTTTATTCCAGTGCACTGAACTGAAAGATAAATGTTGATCGCACAGAAGGCACTGCTTGTTTAAATCAGAATTGCGGTTAATAAAAAGTTTTTGGTTTCTAATAACGAGGGCTAACTCGGGTCGGGTTCGCAGGATCGTCCAGTTTTCATACCCTTACTGGCTTTGTCATTCGGCGACCTTGTTTTTTCATTGTTCTACGTCTAAACAATAGGCGACTGACTGCCAACACGACCCTAAAGTAAATTTGCCAAAATAACAGTGTTTGCTTATTTCACGCGCAAATATAAACTATGTAGGCCGCCAACCATAGTCGACGTTCCTTTTGATGTTTCTAAGAAAACTTCGCTTTCATAGAATTAACTTACAATACGAGTATTTCCCGGTTTTGTAATAATTTTAATTAATTTCTGCTTAGACAACAGCAATGAATATTAAATTAAATCTAGTTTCGTTTAAAGATCGAAGCTAATTGAAATGCTTTAAAATTAATATAAAGAATATGTTGACTCGTTTAAAAGGACTTGTGAATGTAGGCAATAAAATATGATACTGACTGCAAGTGCCCGGCTCCTCGTCTGAACCATCAGGACAGTCTTTTTCATTGTCGCAGTGCCAGGACAGCGGAATACATCTTCCTGTCTTGCAGCGGAACTCTGACTGTGTACAAGTACGGCTCTCTGTAATGAAAAATACATTAAATTAATTAAATGAAACCTTAGCTTGATACAAAGTATAAACTTAATCAAATATAATACAAAAGTCTCCACCAATATCGTTAAGGTTCAGTTACACAGGTCGCATCAAGGGTGAATTTTTCATTACGTCTTGGCCAAACGCAATTTTGCTGATAAATATTTTTATAACTCTTAAACGTCAGAGTAAAATCAACCTTAAATGTACATTTGTAGATGTTAATATTTAACGAAGTGACACTCGGGGAAGGACCTTACTCCTTTTTAATTTATTTGGAAGATGTGACGGGGACCATGTTGACGCTTCCGAGGGTCTTTAATCTCCACTTGTATTGAACTAAGCTACACATTATGTAAAAGTTTATATTTATAGCATGTAAGTTGGGGTACATCTGCTGCCTACTTTAGAATATTTATGAGGACGAATAATTTAACATTAATTTCTGTTCGGTACGATGACTTTCTCGAACCGTTTCAAGTCTACAAATTATAAAACAGAACTATTTTTAGATTGTTCTACGTGCCTTTACTAAATGAATTACTTATTCTTCACTTCACATAATTCAGTATTAACATTAAACGTGATAAATAAACTTGCCTGACAAAATTTTACCTTTCATACAAAATCATATCGTCTTAATAAAAAATATTTTTTGCAAAAAACCGTTATTATATCCATTTTACGGCATCGCTCTAATTTCTCTGAGTCGAGGTAGGGGATGTCGTAAACTGGATCAATCCATTTACGGCTGAAATCACCGTTCAGCGTACGTATAAAACAAGGTTTAAGAAAATTATCGGCGGGTAGCAGCAGCCGCTTTATCTCGAGGTGATTCGAGGCGAGGAAGGGCGGGCACGCGCCGCCAAGCAATTTGTAAACAAAACGCACCCCCGCCGAATAATATCGCCTTGCCGGCACCGCGCCGACTACGTAGCCCTTTTACTGTAACCCGCGCGATAAATTCAAGTGTACCATCAGAGATTGTTGGAACGTAAAGCGCTATTTCGCACCGTACTCGCCATAAAAAACTTCACTAACAATGGATATACACTTCAGTTACAAACTGTCGGCTAATTTTACCCTAGAATATACTGTAATGTTTGTATTAAGCCAACAATATTAGCCCATTACTTTTGTACATTTATATGTAGACGTCTAAGTCTTGTCGTCACAGTTTATATTCGTTCTTAAGTCTTTAAAATCTTTTCACGTTTTATGTTAAGTATAAAACTTCGCGAGATATCTTTGTTCTACGATGAATAAAGTACCTGCGTGCAGTGAATATTATCTTATTAATTACATTATTTTATATATACCTACGTTCATGTTAAGTTTCCATTTCTTATTTCAAACGTTTATTTATAAACACGTTGGTACAAATTAATCTATAAAAACATTTTTGGTCCTAGCCTAAAATCTACTTGTTAGTTAAGTATTAGGTACGCGAAACTTTCTTAAACCTTCATACAACTTTGTTAGAAACCTGTCTACTGTCTTATAAGCACATTAACGTTCATGTTGTTGAGAAATCTTACCTATCTGTAATACTAAGTATATTAAATCAATGATAAACGTTTAGATTTTAGGTGGTGTATTTATCGAAATTGTTTAAAAATAGTAACTACAAGATAACTAAATTAAAATAACAACTTTTATAAGTATGCTAGATTTTTAGATATCTCTGAATGGATTAATCGAAATAAGAACTAGCTATATAATCTAGTTTATTTTTATGTAAGCAACGTATATATATAGAACTAGCGTCCGCAGTAGCATTTACTGAAGTGGTGTAGCCCGTCCATTCGTAACAGAATACCCATATCCACGGAGCGCAGCCATTTGCTGAAGTGAAACGTTCACCGTGGAACACCCACATTATTGCCCCCTTCACGCTGGAATGTTAATGGGAGCTTCTTCCCAACTATACTGCTTCAATTCTTGTTTGAAACTCAATATCGATCCAACTATCTAATTAATGTATTACACGTTTCCAACTAATACCATACTTGATGCGCTCGAAGATATTACTGCATATTTGATGAGCAAATTCATTATGAAGCATTTCACAAAAGTCAAACTATAATGTATCATCAAATATTTAATAGGCAATTAAAGCGGTTAATTTTGCTGATTAACCCCTGTGCAAGTATCCATACCAGTCGTTACTAGAGAACAAAGAGATTATTCGACAGTGTACAGTTAATTAATCCGCAGGGTATGGTCCCATTAGCCGAACGGTCCTGTCAGACGCAATTTAGTCACGCAGTTGTATGGCCGATAGAGATGTGAATCACTAATCGGGTCCGCAAGAAGACTACAACGTCCCAAGTATTGAGCCGCAGCCAGACAAGTGGATAAATCGAAGATACGTCGAACTGTGCCCGTCCGATAAGCTAGTTCGACAGCTATGTCTTCTCGTGGAATGAAATCACTCTAACGCGAAATGGCGACAAAAATTGTCGTCCGCGAAATTGTCTCTGGAGCCCTCCGTATCTACGATTCTCATTGATGTAATGACATATCGTGTTCACATTCAATCGCACACGTTCGGTTGTCGAGTCCCGTTTTGTCGTGAACTTTACAAGCCTTCAAAGAAAATGGTACATTTTAGCATCAAAAAGTATGTTTCAGGCTAGATCATTTAGGTGCCTACAATTGCCAATCGAGTCGTTGAAAATGTATTCACCACATATAAATATATTGAAATCATTAGTTTAGAGATATATTAAAGGTCGACAAAGAAACGCTATCTGTATTTAAGATGTAAATGTAAGGAAAGTTGAGTAGGCACTTGCTTGTAGGACCTTGTTTAGCCACATTATTGATCTTATGACTTCTAACCTATGTTTCTTACGTTAGAATATCACAGGGCTTTATGAGCAAGTTTCAAAAGAATAAAGGTGACTAAACAAGGGTTTTATGTTTCAAAAGAGCTTTGTAACAAACTGTATACGCGTGTATTCAAAACGGGTTCGTAGTGGGTACATTTTTTCTGTCGCTGTGGAAATTTCTTTGAGCTTACTACGTACGTGTTGTGTGTTCATACCGAACTTTTGTAAACGAGGTCATTTGTATGTGTATGTGGTTGAAAACCACTTTCGTTGTTCTGGAAGTGGAATTAAAAAGTGTATTAAAGTTTCAATTTCCTTAAAACCCACTGACTATAGCCATTTTAGCAAAATATTTTAACAATGTTCGTTGAGAACGCGCGATGCACAAGCATTAGGCCAAATTGTCCCCAAGATGGCAATAGCGTCAGAGCAGCGGGAAATTGTATTACCGGGCCTTACTTGCAGCCAACAGCGATGAGTGCATTCGTTACCAACGTAACTGGAAGCTTTGGAGCACACTTGCATATGTTATTCGTTTCTCAACTTATATATGGCACACTGTTATGTTGTTCAAATTAAGGTGGATAACTAAGCTGAACAACCATCGACACGGGTGACCCATCGGAAATGAAATTGAGTTCGTGCGCGTATGTAACCAAGTTCTACGAAAGTTGTAGATTGGTTTTCTACATGCGTAGCCATACTACGTTAGTGCTACGAAAAGCGGTGAGCGTCACACGTGCTACGCGCATGGCTACGAATATTATTCTTTAAACTTTCATGCTGAATGAATGTCGATACAGTGCAAAGACAGTGTACATCATTTTATTTTTAAATCACATTAGCCAGGGCAAGCATAATAATCATGTAGATTAACAGGTTTTACATATTTTTTCGGCAGTTATTATGTATGTATATTTTACACGCATATATACTATTTCATTATGTAAATGTGTGGGTTTAGACATGTTTGTACTAAATCGAATTAAAACTGGAGCTACATTTTAACACTATATTAGACATTAGTGTTTTAGTCTAATTAGGCACCTCGGGCACGTATTATTCAAGCATGTTCTACTCTCTAAATTAACCTTGTTTTTTTAACTTGTTAGTTCAGAGATTACTGGAAAATAGTTTTACTAGAAATTAAAAGATACGATCAATTTAAAACCAAACCCTCACTATATGATATGTGACATGTTTTAAGTAGATACTTATGGACGTACGCTAATATTAATTCACTAAAAGTTATTATCAAGTCAAATATACACAGTGAAAACTAAATAGTGAATTGTTGAAATCTATTCCCTTTAGGCAGTTGGGAAAATCTAGTTAGTCCGGCGACTATTGCCTTGAAGGCTTCGTTACAAAACTCAATTTGAAAGGACGCCATTCTGTTCGATTGAGAGGCATAACGGTGGAAATCAAATTGGTCGCATAAAAGTTGGTTTCGGAATAAAATTGAGAAAGCATCGTTAAAAGTACCTGCGTTTTTGTAGTCATACGCTTTCGTGTAGGTGTCGTAATCATCGTCGTATAGCGTGGCCTCCGCCGTCACTGCTAATGCTACCAACCAAACGATCCAAGAACACGCCATAATGTCTTCTTCAAGGGTCTTTGTTACTCTGTAGCACTCAATTCACTAGAAGATAAATGTAAACATGTAGGGAAGTGTAAGAATTATAAAACCAAGCACACACGTGCGCTGTTCAGTGATTTTCACGGTTCCTTTTTTAACATCGTTACCAGCCCTACGCGTGTGGAGATAACTAACTTTCCCCGTTTAAAAATCACGAAGCTCTCGCCTCATACAAGAGTTGCTAAGGTGTTTATTCGCCGTTCGGTTCCACACTTAATTTGTTTACGTAAACATTTTTGACAGTATTGGATTTAACAACAAAATATTACGAAATAGTTATTCCTTAAATTAATGTATATGTAGATAATGATATTTAAAATTAAGTCCTAACAGATGTTCAACACTAGATAATAAAGATTAACTAATCTGACAGGTAAATAGTGTGCAAACTAGTGTATCAGAAGTTTATAGTTAAATTATGAATCTACTGGGAACTACCTGTATTAAAAGCAGGGAGTTGGGATAATCCCATCGACCCTTTGTCTCACAGAGGTCACTTTCTAAAGTCGTTCGTAAAATATTACTTATACTAATACTTATGTTTGTATAGGATTATTTTGAAAAGTAAAAGGTCCAAGGTGGCTCAAACATTTTTATATTATATGCTCTTAGTTTTTAATGTCTATATGACATGTTATATAGATATAGCATACAGACAAGAACTATCTAAATACTAATATCTATGAACATTAATATGTGATGTTCTTTATCTATAAAACCCTGGATTTACCCTGATATATATTGATAAGTGACGTCAACGGTTTATATATCACTATATAAAAAGTAAGAATGCAATAAGTAGCTCTTCTTTGGCCATGAAAGAGGGTGCTCGAAACGTCGACAAAAGGTGAAGATTGGCGGTCTCACCCTCTCTCACATTAGTGCTAGGTAATATGAATATACGATGAATTTCCCGATTCGATATCGATAGACTCAACGATGATATCGATACGTTTTCATACGAAGCATATATAGAGTACGTTATACGTTCAACAAACACTACGATGCCGCTTGAACAGTCGATTTTCTCCATTGAGAGTGACTGGATGTCGATGCAAGCATTCTCGTACATCCCTGACATAGTTCGGAATAATTTATACAAATATCCACTGCCTTATGAATGCAGTCTGACGTTTGTCATCGGATATTTAACACTTCCATTGTTATCCGTCCTTTTGTTTATAGCAAACGTTTTCAAAGATTATTAATAAAAAAATGCTCACGATCACTACTACTGTACCTACACAATTGTCAATACGGTTTTGATAGACACATTTAATAACCGATCATAAATAAGGTTGAATAAAGTTTTTTTATATAAATATTTTTCCTATAGTAAGTAGGTATTTATTCTTTGATTGGCCCTTGATCACAATCTTTTTTTCCACCTACATTCTTAGTACCCAACAGAAGGTCTCATTAACAAATAATCTGAAAGCTATTTCTCTCCGGCAAAAAAGATCCACTTATTTTTCTATGTGACTGTAATAAATTTCGACTCTCACGTCGTGATTTGGAATCACGTGATACCTAGTTATTTACGATTTGGGGGCGACTCCCCTAAATGGGGTCAGTCATTATAGGTGTATATGGAACAGTTTATATTTATAGATTTACCGCAAAATTGTGCGTATTGACAAATGTGGTATCATAGTTACCAACACATTTTAATCTAGAAACAGTTAAGCTGCCAGAAAATTATACCTACATAATAAATAAATAAGGTATTTATACATACCTACATAAAAATATTGTTCTGTGGGCATTTTATGGAAATATCATTTTTAGTCGACGCTTACTTCAAGAATCCTTCTAGGAAGTAGCGAAATTCCCACTTATTCGTGCCCTTTACAAATATTTTCTTTGATGTCCACATAATACAAACTTTATGAATTGTTTGTGACCATCAAGATCGTATTATAGCAAAGGGCTCTATGAAAGGGGATTGTATCGTAAAAAGTAATCACGTCTTTCCTATCTGCCAGTAAATGTGTGAGTCAAAAAACTAGCAATAGGAATCTAAGTAATTACTTTCTGTATATTCTTCACGGACGACGTAAATCTAATAAATGTCACTTACTTTGTACAAAGGTACCAACCAAGTAACAAATATTGACTGAATTCGCCACTAAGCAAAAATGCGTTTGTACTTTTGTTGTTGAAGTCTGTTCGTCTAGATGTTTTTCATACACTACAAGCGTTGAATGATTGAGTACACGCTAATCAAAATTTCGACCTTGCCAACCACCGACACATACCAACTTAATATTATTTCGACACAATTCTACAAATGAAAATATTTTATTCCATAAAGGTACAAATTCTGAACATCTTTTAGGACGATAAAACCAAATTAGTTCATGTTTGTACATAATTAGGTACGCATGTTGAATATTCGATAAAATCGGTTTCTTCATGTAAGTCACTGTACCAAACAGTATGTGAAGTTGCTAAATAGGTAAACAAGTACACCATATACGTTCAGATTAAATCACTTTAAGTAAGAACGACATTAGAAGTTCTAATAACTTTCTCATAACGAAATATCTCGTAACTGGACAGGTGAAACGTGAACAAACAACAACCGTCAGTTACAATTAGGGTGTGTGGGCAAAGTAAACTAGTGCATTAATAATTCCTAACATTCCGAGGCCGGTTACACAACGTCGTTAGATTGAGCAATCAAAGTTTGATAACCATTTCTGCACTTCAACTGCAACTGGTCTACTAGTACTTATGCACGAGTCACAGTTCACAAGCGGCAGAGCCTAATTTAATTCGTAGACACTGACTCGAATTAGCGTATGAAATGGAACGGGCTTGTGGTCCAATCCTTTGCTGAATTTAGCCTCTGAATAACTCAACACGCGGAATGCTAAGTTGAACTCCACACACAGGTACACTATTTAAATATGTAAGAGCTGCCTCCATTACCTACATTTATCAAATAAAATATTAAATAAGATAAACGAAAGGCTCCGTATACAAAATATTATTGGACGTAAGGCAAGTAAACAAAATTTATGAAGATACAGTTTTATTTTATCTACATTAAGGGATACACAAGACCGTGAGACAGGAATGAAGAAATAAGTAAACGGTCTTACTTTCGGATTTTGGGCGGTATACAATGTTTTATTGCTACTACAGAACGTAGAGGTTGCGCGTTGCTAGGACCCAACGCAACGTATAATAAACATAACTGATTCATCTACACATATTAAATCATATCTCTTACTTTTAACTAGATAGATACATAGAATTATAATTATAAGTGTTTAAAACCTTAATATTAGTTAAGGAACCTAAAAGGAATTTGTTCGCCCATTTATCAATATAGTACGGTGGATTATAATTTTGATGAAAAGTTTTGCATACAAATAGCGTGTTTCGAGAGCAAGGTCTACCCTGTCGAAACCAAACGCGCAAGTGTGGTCGCTGTCTAAAAAGGCACGCTTATCGCCCTTCTCAAATCCTTATTAATTCCATGTAAACTTTGATAGATCGGAGCGAGTCGAAAATTAATTACCCCGAACTTCAGGGACCCGTCAATTACACTACGCCATTATTCTATTCGGACTCTCCCCACATTGCGGGAGGGCTGATCTAAACGAGTTTGATTGTACAAATAATGACTAACCGTTATGGATAGTTGAAATTTTTTGTTCAACAAATCAAATACCTAGAACTAACCACGGTTTTTAATTAGTCGTATTTGAAAACACGTTTTCAACTTGGCACTTAGGTGTACGTGAGTCGTGTAATTCACTTTAAAGTTGTTTTGGTATGGATCGCTCATGAAAAGCTTTAGAAAAATGAGTTACAAAACAAAACACATTAACTCGAACTTTTCAGACAATTAACTAGAATTGTATTATATGTACTTGACGAGTACAACTGTAAAATGAAAAGAAAAACGTCTACAAACCGCTTTTACAACTTTTTCATTTAAAGTTTCGTTTAAAAATTGTGTGAAGTTTCTAGACATCGCACGTTGTGTTCAGATACTTAAGTACTTATGGTCCTCTCTTTAGAAATGTCTCAATTTAGGTTGTTGACAGAAGTTGTGGCGAACAAATCAACTTGGTCCAATATTCCACGGACTGTGAAAGTTTATTTGTTATACTCTATTAAAAGGTAAATAGTGTTGGTGAAAGTAATTAATATTACGGCGAATCCCTAGAAATTATTGTGATTAGTTTGGTTTGTTAAATATTCGTGGAATATTGGACAAGTGATAGGTTAACGTAATTACAAGTATTTGATTTGAAAGAACCTAAAACTAGGTATATACCAAGATACTTCCTACGTACTTCAATGACGAAGATCTCATAAAATAGATACATTTGCGTAAAAGAACAAATTTAACGGTGAGAAAAAAATCCTTCAGGGAGACCTTTGAATTTCCTTTTTTACGACTTCATTAAATTGTGCGCGTGTTAAACGAGTCGTGTACCTACGTGAGTCGTAATTTTCCTTGAAACCGCAAGGAGCTCGCGATCGACACTGACGACCATATAATTAATAACCTCTGTCAAATTCACACCCATCCGTCTCCGTTAAACCACACCTCCTTTACTTATTTGAATGGAACAGGACTGAGTGTCATTTACAGTCGGCTTAAGATCGCCTAGAAAAATTTACGAGGTAGTAACCGAGATCGAGTACCTGGATAATTTTTGTTTTAAGAATTGATTGGAATGTTATTTAAAATTGGTAAGACATTTTGGAGAAAAAAGGTTTTATTAACCTAAAAAATGATTTTGAAATGTGTTATTTAATTAGCATTGATGTCTAAGGTAAATTTAATTAGGTACTTTACTTTTGTTTTACTTAATGCCATTAATTTATAAAACAGTCAACGTATGCATTAGCCTCGAAGAATTCAATTTTAGTAATCTGATATTTATTATGTAGACTGATACAAAGAGTTTTACGTATAATTCTGTATTATTCCA